TGAATGGGCAGAAAGTTAAAATCTCGTCAAGTCTAGCGTCAGCATTGCAGACAAACATTGTGTAATTCCTGTTTATAAACAGTTTAACGTCAAGCGCATGAACCAAGTTCTGCGTTGCGGAACGTGAGAGCTTATAAATCGACCTTAAGTCCTTAGTATAAGCCTACTCAGCATCGCTGCGACTTCAGGCAGAAGCTCAGGGCCTCGTTTGCTGTCACATGTCAAACAAGTCAAAAAGGATGTGGAAAACCAGCTGATCTAAGGCAACAAACACATAATTTGCATTCTCTCTTTTATTGTTTGAATGGTCAGAAAGTTAAAACCTTGTCAACTCTAGCGTCAGCATTGCGGGCGAACATTGTGGTATTCCTGTTTAAAAACAGTTTAACGTCAAGCGCATGATCCAAGTTCTGCGTTGCGGAACGTGAGAGCTTATAAATCGACCTTAAGTCCTTAGTATAAACCTACTCAGCATCGCTACGACTTCAGGCAGAAGCTCAGGGCCTCGTTTGCTGTCACATGTCAAACAAGTCAAAAAGGATGCGGAAAAACCAGCTGATCTAAGGCAACAAACACATAATTTGCATTCTCTCTTTTATTGTTTGAATGGGCAGAAAGTTAAAATCTCGTCAAGTCTAGCGTCAGCATTGCAGACAAACATTGTGTAATTCCTGTTTATAAACAGTTTAACGTCAAGCGCATGAACCAAGTTCTGCGTTGCGGAACGTGAGAGCTTATAAATCGACCTTAAGTCCTTAGTATAAGCCTACTCAGCATCGCTGCGACTTCAGGCAGAAGCTCAGGGCCTCGTTTGCTGTCACATGTCAAACAAGTCAAAAAGGATGTGGAAAACCAGCTGATCTAAGGCAACAAACACATAATTTGCATTCTCTCTTTTATTGTTTGAATGGTCAGAAAGTTAAAACCTTGTCAACTCTAGCGTCAGCATTGCGGGCGAACATTGTGGTATTCCTGTTTAAAAACAGTTTAACGTCAAGCGCATGATCCAAGTTCTGCGTTGCGGAACGTGAGAGCTTATAAATCGACCTTAAGTCCTTAGTATAAACCTACTCAGCATCGCTGCGACTTCAGGCAGAATCTCAGGGCCTCGTTTGCTGTCACATGTCAAACAAGTCAAAAAGGATGCGAAAAAAACAGCTGATCTAAGGCAACAAACACATAATTTGCATTGTCTCTTTTATTGTTTGAATAGACAAAAAGTTGAAACTTCGTCTAACATTGTGGAATTCCTGTTTATGAACAGTTTAAAGTCAAGCGCATGATCCAAGTTCTGCGTTGCGGAACGTGAGAGCTTATAAATCGACCTTAAGTCCTTAGTATAAACCTACTCAGCATCGCTACGACTTCAGGCAGAAGCTCAGGGCCTCGTTTGCTGTCACATGTCAAACAAGTCAAAAAGGATGCGGAAAAACCAGCTGATCTAAGGCAACAAACACATAATTTGCATTCTGTATTTTATTGTTTGAATGGACAGAAAGTTAAAACCTCGTCAAGTCTAGCGTCAGCATTGCGGACGAACATTGTGGAATTCCTGTTTATAAACAGTTTAACGTCAAGCGCATGATCCAACTTCTGCGTTGCAGAACGTGAGAGCTTATAAATCGACCTTAAGTCCTTAGTATAAGCCTACTCAGCATCGCTGCGACTTCAGGCAGAAGCTCAGGGCCTCGTTGGCTGTCACATGTCAAACAAGTCAAAAAGGATGTAGAAAACCAGCTGATCTAAGGCAACAAACACATAATTTGCATTCTCTCTTTTATTGTTTGAATGGGCAGAAAGTTAAAATCTCGTCAAGTCTAGCGTCAGCATTGCAGACAAACATTGTGTAATTCCTGTTTATAAACAGTTTAACGTCAAGCGCATGAACCAAGTTCTGCGTTGCGGAACGTGAGAGCTTATAAATCGACCTTAAGTCCTTAGTATAAGCCTACTCAGCATCGCTGCGACTTCAGGCAGAAGCTCAGGGCCTCGTTTGCTGTCACATGTCAAACAAGTCAAAAAGGATGTGGAAAACCAGCTGATCTAAGGCAACAAACACATAATTTGCATTCTCTCTTTTATTGTTTGAATGGTCAGAAAGTTAAAACCTTGTCAACTCTAGCGTCAGCATTGCGGGCGAACATTGTGGTATTCCTGTTTAAAAACAGTTTAACGTCAAGCGCATGATCCAAGTTCTGCGTTGCGGAACGTGAGAGCTTATAAATCGACCTTAAGTCCTTAGTATAAACCTACTCAGCATCGCTACGACTTCAGGCAGAAGCTCAGGGCCTCGTTTGCTGTCACATGTCAAACAAGTCAAAAAGGATGCGGAAAAACCAGCTGATCTAAGGCAACAAACACATAATTTGCATTCTCTCTTTTATTGTTTGAATGGGCAGAAAGTTAAAATCTCGTCAAGTCTAGCGTCAGCATTGCAGACAAACATTGTGTAATTCCTGTTTATAAACAGTTTAACGTCAAGCGCATGAACCAAGTTCTGCGTTGCGGAACGTGAGAGCTTATAAATCGACCTTAAGTCCTTAGTATAAGCCTACTCAGCATCGCTGCGACTTCAGGCAGAAGCTCAGGGCCTCGTTTGCTGTCACATGTCAAACAAGTCAAAAAGGATGTGGAAAACCAGCTGATCTAAGGCAACAAACACATAATTTGCATTCTCTCTTTTATTGTTTGAATGGTCAGAAAGTTAAAACCTTGTCAACTCTAGCGTCAGCATTGCGGGCGAACATTGTGGTATTCCTGTTTAAAAACAGTTTAACGTCAAGCGCATGATCCAAGTTCTGCGTTGCGGAACGTGAGAGCTTATAAATCGACCTTAAGTCCTTAGTATAAACCTACTCAGCATCGCTACGTCTTCAGGCAGAAGCTCAGGGCCTCGTTTGCTGTCACATGTCAAACAAGTCGAAAAGGATGCGGAAAAACCAGCTGATCTAAGGCAACAAACACATAATTTGCATTCTCTCTTTTATTGTTTGAATAGACAAAAAGTTGAAACTTCGTCTAACATTGTGGAATTCCTGTTTATGAACAGTTTAAAGTCAAGCGCATGATACAAGTTCTGCGTTGCGGAACGTCAAAGTTTATAAATCGACCTTTAGTTCTTAGCATAAACCTGCACAGCATTGCGGCGACTTCAGGCAGAAGCTCAGAGTCGCATTTGCTCGTATCTTTCCCAAGTCATTATAATTCTTTTGGCGATGCGGTGTGCGGTGTCCGATCATAATGCCGCTTTGCCCGTCCGCAGAGGAAAGAAGGTAAATCGACTGGACGTGCGAAAACGACTGCGGTAGAGTTTCCTTTTTTTCTTTCATCGAACTCCGGTGAAGGGGTTCATCCCCAGGGAAACATATGCCGTGCATCGGCCGGAATAGTGTCGACAGATATTTCACGAACTGCAATTTACACTACGGAAAGGCAATGAACGCCCAAATTATAAACCAAGCAACTGTATTTTTGAAACGCGTTCAATTTTTTCGGTTATGCTGGCCCAAAATCTTTGTTCCCCAAAATATGAACCTATTGTAGCTTCAACCGATGTTAAACAAGAAAAATGATTTGACGATTTACAAAAAACTTTTTTCGAAATGAAGTCAGTGTAAGTTAGGTACCCCTTTAACCCTATGGTTATGTTATAAAAAAAATTCTATGCCCTACCGACGTTACCGATCATCTGACAACGTTGCTGTGACTAAGCTCGTCCATTTGCCAGTGGGAAGCAAAATATGGCGTTGGCCCAGCTCGTCATCAGGTCATAAAGGATTAGATTAAGTTTTTTACGTGTCTTGAAAAGTGACATTGTGTCGATTTTCTTTGACATTGTACGGGTTTTTTGTGACATTATGTTAACAAGATGTTAACTTAGCACTATCTGATGATATTTTGCTCTTCAACCAACTTTGTTCTCAGAGATAAACACTACAGACTACTCTGCTTTACAAAACATATGCAACCAACAATGCGTGTAGTTGAGTCATTCCTTCGTATACGGACGCTCACAACGATCCTAGTGAACAAACGTGTAATGGCTGTTTGCAGCCTAAAAACTACCTAGTCTGCAAGATGACATTTTATAGGTTTTTTACATAATACCCGTGCGGGAGAAATTAAACTATCTGAGAAAAAAGTAGTTACGAACATGTACAACAGAGAAATTAAATGGATCAAGTAAGTCAATTAGTCCATCTAGCAACGTAGCGTCATGCCAGTACGCCGGGCGGTGAGTCCAGGTAACAAAAGGAGGCGCGTTCGAAAACATTTCTCTATTATTCTATTAAAGGCAAATGTACCATATATGTATGAAAATGTGTGAAATATGTCTAATAGGGGAGTTACCAATATCAAAAACTCCCCATTTTAACCCCTACATTTTTTTTGGAAATGATCAGGAGCCTCTAAAACGTCAAAATACGAAGTTCGTGTTTTTTTTCGTGTTTCTACCTCTACCTCCATGTCACTGTATCGATTTTCAAAACGTACAAACTTCGGGAGATGCGTCGAAATCGCGCCATACAAATCGAGAGTAAAATGAGAAACAGCTAGAATTTTTGTGTTGGCGCCCGAAATCTGTGCATAAAGTTAATTTTACCGTCTAGTCAAAATAGGAATATGATATTCTTCTGTATGGATATACCCAAAACAATCATGATGAAGTGTTGGACATGTTGGGTTTTAAGGCATTTTTTCACACTTGACTGTAGGTACCAATTCATCCAGTTTGATGATCTGAGAAAGGCGACTTCCATTAGGCATTGGAAACATATTTTTTGATCGGTAGCATTCTCGGTATTTCATAACTTAAATTATTTTTCTCAAATAAAAGGAACATACTAGTTTCAATCTTATGCAACACACATCGCACGTGTGTACCAGCCAAGAAGAAAATTTCACAGAGCCAGTATAAACGGTAGAGACTAGTTATCCATCCTGCTAACAGATAGCGCCTCGATTGACTTTCGTAGAAATTGTAATTATCACAATTCGATTTATGATAGATTTTAGTTCAATAGAACTGATTATTCAAAAACGCAAGTTCCTAACAACTCAATGTCTACATGTGTATTAGAACGCAACGTGTAATTTTGTCGTTCGAGCAAAACGTCATATTTTCAGACGGACATAGCCTTTTGCGGTACTGTTTTACTTTACTGTCTTTACCATTTTTCCAAAATCTGATTGCATGAAATAATCAAGAAATGTGAAATACAAGACTATAGTTTCTGTTATTTTGTCACTCCAATCCGAAGAGATACCAATATCCGTGAGCAAGAAAACTAATTGAAATACGACAGCATCTATTGAACCTGTCCTACAAACCACATATAGATACCACAGCAAATACTGATCGTGTATTCGCCTTAACGAAAAGTTCTTGCCATTTGTCTGCAAAACAATATTCAATTGCAATTATCTGTGCAAATATTAAAAATAAAATCGGTCAAGTGAGGCATTTTTATTCTGATATCTTTAGTCATAGTAGAATTTCATCAACAGTCTGTTTGCTTTACGGTGTACTCGGTTTTTTAACCATCGTAAAGGAAGAGCAGATTAAGATAGATATCCCTTTCAAGACAAGCTCTTGTTAAAACACAAAGAAAGAGAAAGTTTACAACTTTATATACCGAAATAAAAGGTACATCGTTTTCCACTTAAGTTTAACACCCAATTCAATCGGATTCGATATAAAACATCACATTACAGTTTGAAATGAGGCACTTTCAATTTTACTGTTCAGAATGAAAGAGGTAAAGATTGATTCGTTTTGAATTTGCTTAATATTGTTTATTTTCTATTGATCTTGTGTCATCGTTAATAATCGATTACGAGAAATGTAAAGAGCGTTGATAATAGATAAATTGGATTTCTGAAAATGTCTATATGTTAATTGAAAAAAAATGCAGTGCAGTGCGAGTTTATCATTTTCTAATTGTAGGTGGCGCTCATAATAGTGATAAGCGTGTACAGAATATACGCAGTGAAAGTGGAAGAAAGGGAAGTTGGTGAAGCTAGTGATTCGGTGGGCTACAAATATCCAATACCAGTTTATTCTCCTGATCTCAGTAAATATAATGGTAAATATTAAAAAAAAATTGTGATATAGATGAAAGCTATCCTATGTATCCTGGATACCACAGGCCGACAAAGGTGAGCCCAAATACCTCAATTGGCTCTGTACCCTATTTTGCGAGTACACATCAAGCTTTGACGTCTACTAAGGTGAACAGCTGATCAGCAACGGACATTTCTGTATTATACAACGTTGGCAATAATGGATCGGGTATAAATCTAGTGGAGTTTTGTTTTTTGTATGCAAATTAACTTTTCTAAATAGAAAGTACAAAATGAATCTAGCGTACAAAAAGCAAAACAAAATACGGCTCTGTCTAACTGGCGTTGACGGATCTGTCAGAATTATGTGTCCCGTGCCGATATGGGGAATTTTATTACTAGATAATCAGCTGTCATTATACCGTGGTGGACACTCGTGAAATAGGGTATATTTTTACCTATATTTGAGGTTATGTGGAATGCCGATTTTTTTGTTAAAAAACGATGGACGTCATCTTAAAGTTCAATCCTTGCCCTTTCAAATGCCGTAGTTGACTTACATATATTTTTCTTTCGCTGAAATATGACACTTTGAAGATTTCCCTTTTTATAACTTGATATTTCTATCAAAATGTAAAGCAAGAACGTTAATCTCGGCCTCAATAAGGTAGGGAAGATTGTCGGCTTGTAGTTTTAGATATTTTGAGTTTCATGGAATTTTCTCTTCTTCAGAAAGAATGGGATATTTCTCGATTTCTACTGTTGAAAACTTCAAAGCGCCTTATCGAAAAAAAGAGATATTAAAGTAAATTCAATGCCACTTGAAAGGGTATATCTGGTATTTTGAGATATTTACGGTTTTTTTTAAAGTGCTACATAATCTCAAATATATAGGCAGAAATCGCTACGTTTGCACCTTTAGTTTAGGATATCTCAGAAACTAGCGCTATAAATTTCGAGGTAGGATACTCTGGTTTCTGGTTTGTCGGCCTGTGTAATTTTTTTTAGTAGATACGAATATATTTTGTCAATTCGGAGGAGTGAGTGCCAATAAGGTTCGATCGAAATTTCGGCCAACATATACTTGAAATTCGTCTTCAAGACGCATCAGGATCTTTTGACACATACTCAGCGTAATCAGCGCCAAAAATTACCTAAACTGAATCCAAATTCAAGATGAGATGTAAATAATAACAGTTAGCGCGTGATCTCTCGGTAACAGGTGGGGACAACGCCTCTTATTGGTCAATTCGCCATTAAATTTCAAGCGGTCGCCTGGCGGAATAATGCGCGGGGCAGGGGCAGGGCAGGCAGAGTTGCACTCAGGCCACCGTCCGTCGCGTGTATCACTGCGTGCTCGTGTTTTCGTATTCACCTTGCTTGGTTGTTGCTGTTGTTAAGTGTATCTGATTAATTTGTTAAGTTTCTGTTAAATACTGTCATCTTTGTTTTACGACACGTTGGTGGTAGTCCATCATTCGGAGGTAGCCCTGAATGCGGCCCTGTACGCCGTCCTTGCTTTTGGCAATCACGCATCCATTCTATCTTGGGTGTAAATACACTACAGATGTAACGAAAACATAGTTTTTACTTACGAGGGCGTTACTTTTTTATTTATTTATAAAAGAATAAGATAGATGGTTTTTCATTTCAGGCATTCTGCACCCATCTGATCCCGCTGGCAAAAACACGAACCTGATCGCCTCAGCGTTGGTGCTGAGCTCGATCTTGGGTCTGCAACCACCCAGCAAAAACGGCTACAACCATCCAGAGTTGCCGCCTTTGAATCCTTACATCCAGCTTTTGCTCTCACACTACGGGCGTTATTTGGGACACACCCAAGGCAAACATGAAGGTTTTGGCAGTGCCAGGGGACTTTATGGATATACAGCTGTTAATAATATACATAATAACAAGCCTTTTGGGGCGTACAAAATCTACGAAGATGCCGACTAATTTAATCGAGGTGTAAAAATAAAAATTGAAGAAAATATAAAATAGTAACGGGGTACATACCCCCGGCCGCTATGTCGGTTCCAAAAATAGGTGGATAATCTGTAGAAGCCAAAAATGAAACAAAATGAATATAAAAGAGGAAAATGTATTTATTCAAATGACGCTTACACACACAAGTATAATTAATTGAGAACATGTTAACTTTTTCCTTCCACACCTATGCCTTTAATCCTAAGATGGGTTCCTAAGGAGAGAAAAACATAATCAGTATAAAAATAAAAGACAAATAAATAGCGAGCCCCAATTTTTTTGTTTGAGTACGAAAATCCTGATGTAGAACTCAACAATACTCGACACCTTAATTTGAGTATCACATTAATTTATGCTTGAAAATGAAATAGTTTTCAAAATAATGTTGAAACATCTTATTTGCCTTGCTGACATGTGTGAAACTAAATCATTTAATGCAACAGTTTGAAGGTGCTTATAATTTTATAACACGATAAAAACTGCGGTAAAGAAATGAGGATAACGAGAATACAAACTACTTTAAAAATATAACGTAAACGCTACCAAGGGCGCCCGCAGGGGGCACCAGGGGGCCGTGGTTCTTACAATTTGCATATTTGTTGTGATTTAGTGTACAGTTCTGGGGATTGTTAAAAGAATTTACTACTTTCGGCTCTTGAAAAAGTTTCATTTTCATATTTGGTGATCATCTGCCCCCTAAGAAAAATTCATGCGGACGCCCATGGAGACTATTTTTGTATAATTAGTGCATGTATTTTTTCCAATTAGGAAACAAAACCGAAAAATAAAAACAATTTGGCGGTAGCTGTACATTTTTCTGTGTAAAACGGGGGCCTGGAAAGGTGCGACGCGCATTTTCTAAAAAATGTCCTCGATATCAAGTCGTGCGAACTTTTGAAGGGTGTTTTCACATGGTTGAGGCTTTCAAATTGTCTTTTTAGTTAACTTACCTAACACCAACCCCTATCTCTCTCCCTCATCAACCATTTTCTTTTCGACTTTCAAGTATTTTTCAATCAACACAGTGCCGCTACCATGAGAATTTACGAAAAGGTAAGAAAATAAGTTACAAAAATTAAAACAGCAATAAACACGGGTGCTGGCGGCCCAAGGCATGAATCTAAGTGAGAAAAGTGAGATTTTCAAAAAAGATAGTGAGAAATAGTGAATTTATACATAAAAAATGAGTTTTTTCTTCTGAGAATTCGATGATCTTAATGAAAAATTTATACGGATAATATTTATAAGAATGTGTGAAAAAACTTTTTTCAACTAGTAGTAGAAAGTATAAGTCCTAATTAAAAAAAGCAACGGCACTGGATTATCCACAAAATGGTGGATTGAATATCAATATAAGTGTAACCATTATATCGATGTTTTTCCAGTCACCCAAAGATATTTATGTCTGTTTATTTAGCGATGTTCCGAATTTATTGATTTCCCATCGTAACACAATAAGTTTCTAGTTGCGACCAGAAATATTGGAATATGAACGATTTATTTTGCGTTGTACGAAATTATATTGTACTTCTTTTATTTTTCCGATATCACATAAGTAGAAATGGAGTGCCATTCATTTTGTAAATAGAAAAATTGACACCTTATGTTGGAAAGTGATATCATACACTTACACGTGTAATTTCCTGAAAATTTATCTGTAAACGAAATCAACGGCACTTAATTTCTAGTCGACGTAATATCGCAAAAGTATTATAACCAAAACCCAATACGTATATTGCGAAATATTTTCTTGAAAGAAGAAAAATAAATCGTTCATATTCCTATCTTTCTGGTCCACAAACGGAAACACATTGCGACAATAAATTCGGAACAACTCTAAATCAACAGACATGAATAAAATCTGATAGAAAAACATCATTGCACTTTTCAATGTAACTATGTTTACCATCTTTGCAAGTGATTTTTACAAGGACAGATTTCCGACTAGCCTCTGCAAGAATGAAAAGATCAGGTTATATCACCAGATATGTCGGCGACATGGTAAGACTTTATACATGGCACAAAGGACGGATGTTTTTGAAATGGCTAGTACTCTCCCCCTATTCGGGCGAGTGCCGTTTTACTTGGCCGTTCCTAGCATTTTTACCAGTAGACATTATGAAGCAGTGGACGGTTCAGCACCACGTTTTCGCATCTGACATAATGAGTATATCACAGCGGTACAGTTTCGTCACATATTCAACGGAATCGAGCTGTTCCATCTCGAAACACCATCTTTCGTTGGGTTCAGTCACTTCGCACACGTGGTGTACTGATCAACAGGAGCTCCAAGGCTCGATCTGCTCGGCAACCCGGAGATTACGGACAACGGTGAACGTGAGATGGAAGCGCTTATCCAGCAAGCTCACTTTCATCTTAATGGCAAGGTTAACCAACAGAATTGCCGTTATTGGGCCAATGAAAATCCGCGACAGTTACGCCTTTCTGGACGAGAGAAAATACTATGAAAATCAAAGAGGCCAAAAGCCGTCCTACAATTGCAGGAGCGACTGACGACACGGCCCTAACAGACCTATTCTCCGGTGACTATGACGTTAATCGACATACCCGGTGATATAACCTGACATTTACACCGAAGCTCCGGCATCCGATCCCTGTATAAATCGCTCTATTTTTCAAAAACGCCGTGCAGCTTCAACAGCATATCTTTGTGTCCGCGAGTGTGTGTGAAGCGCCAACCAATCAAACCCCTTGGCAGCAACACAGCTACAGTTGCGCAGTCGAGTCGGCAGCTGCTGCACCGCTCTGCACTGCTTTTGCACCGTTCTGCACCGTCTTAAAACCCCATCTCTAACACCACTCTGACCGCTCTCTAACACCGCTACACACGCCCCGTACATTTGCTGAGCACAGCTACAGCTACACACGAGTGTCAGCTACACCGCCACATCTGCCGCATTTTGTCAGCAACGCTCTTTCTTTCTCTCTATCTCTCTTTTTCACAACAGCTACACGCCTCCTGCGCTGTGCATCAAAGTTTTGCATCAGAAATGTTTTCTTTTTCAATTTTTCTTATTACTTATAACACTAATGTGAACATTGATCGTAAAACAATTTTATGGGAAAATGCTAATGCGATGAGGTAAAAGACAAGCACGCGTGCTTTTGACTGTCGGTGCGTTTTGCATTGCCTGTCACTTGAATATTCAGGTTGCTTAATGCATTTGGTTAATGATAAAAGTCGCACATCCCTTTTCTTCAACGTCTTTTTTAAGGATTGTTCTTAATATTTTTCGTCTGATTCGAATAACATCATTAAACAACGTGTAACGATAAAAAGTCAGATTTCATTTGTAATGAGGTAGGTATACCACAGGGCACTGTGATAGGTCCCTTATTATTTGTCATATAGCTTTACTCATTAGCGACAAAGGCACTACTGGATTGGACATAATGGTCAGCAGCAAGGAAATGGTTGGCAATGGATAAACTTGTACTAAATAAGAACAAAACTGATTTAACAATATTTAGAACAAAGCAATCACAGTTTGTTATACTACAAAATATCGCACTTTCTGATAGTAATATCCAAATCAGCAGATTACAGTGTTAGGAATTCCTTTAGACGAATTTTTATCTTGAACTATATGCATAAATTGAACTGCTTGTGTTTGTGTTGTCTAGGTATGTAAATTAAGAATATTTGAAATTGTGCAAATTTTGAATCGATGTTACATAATGGAAACTCAGAACTGTCGTTAATGAAATATGTAGATGCGTTTTTAGGTTAAGCAGTATAAAATAGAAACGATTTTCACACGCAAAATGACCATACATACGGTACAGGAGCTCTGAATGTGTTGCTAGCATAGCTGACAGTAATTATTTAAAAAACTGTAAATGCACAAAATTGTATAACTACCTACTCATTTCAAAGTGATGAAAAGTACAGCAACCTTCAAAAAAAAAACTGAAACAGGTTTTAATTTAGTTAGATCCTTATAGTATTTCCAAATACATGAATGCTTCGTTTTAGTTTTTGCACAGGTATCACGTTAATTTCAACATTTATGTCGTTTGTATGTATTATGTATTTCTGATTCTAGATTTGGAATAAAGATAATATTATTATGGGAATATTACACAGCTGTAGTGGATTTGAGCAATAACTTTTTTCTAATATTTTTTTTCTTCAAAAAGCTTTGCATTTTTTGCCATCTTTGCTGCAAAAGTTTTAAAGAGAAAAGCAAAGCTTTTTTGAAGAAAAATGACAAGAAAAAAATAATTAATCAAATCTAGTATAATTTGTAGGACATTCTCATACAATTTCAAAGGAGCACTATCATTTGATAACTAGTTGTGATTGTAGAAAAAATGTAAAAATTATGCATTTTTTAACTGCATAAACAATGTTTTTCAGTCCATGAAACAGTCAGACGAAAATTATTAAACAGACTGTTGAAAAAAGGGAATGTGCGACCTTGACGTCACAAGGCAACAAAAACTGTAAAATCTCTGTATGCATGCATCGATTGTTACAGAAGTTAAGCTTCAGCTATCATGGAGGCTAAACTTGTTCCAACAGGAAAACTCAGCATAAACGTAAAGAATTAAAAAAAAATAAATGACTCCCCACTTCCCCTGACAAAAATTCCTACGGGCGCACATGACGGTGGCTATGACTAATCCCGCGTGGATGACGATATTGACTTTTTTTTGTACCCAAAAAAGGTTTCCAAAAATGATCAGGAGCCTCTGAAACGTCAAACAACGAAGTTTTTGATACATCTTTGATAGACTAATGCAAAATTGAGCGCGGATTTTTCAATTTTCCTGGCAGCCATCAACATGTGAATGTTTCTATAAACTTCAGATTTTATCAAATCATTAGTATGCATATAAGAAGTGTCTACAAAATTAATTTTCGCAAATTATCATAGAACAAACATCAAAGATGACTACCAGTGAAAACCTTCCAACATGTTCCACGTTAGCCTAAAATGCAACCGAATATAAAATGAATTAATCTTCATTGGTTTTGTAAGATTAATAAACTGATTCAAAGAGGAATTCCAACATTTTTTTTTTCAAAAACATAAACGTATGTTCCATGAAAATGACTCATAGTGATCGCAGATTATACAAAAAAAAAACACATACATGCACGCACACATGGATATGAGTATACGGATAAATCGCAAAGTAAAAATGTTGAAAATAAGCAAGGTGAGACTAAATATTATAGTAATAGATACCTTTAAATGAAGAGACACGCTGCGAGACAAATTTCAGCCCGTGTTGGAAATCTGAAATCATGATTTCATGTTAATAATTTTCAGAATTTTGTACAATTTTTCCGAAATATCAAGAAAATGTACTGTAGTAATTTCAAATGTCAGCGGTAGACCATACAGTGGCGAAGTTAAGTTCGGGTTTTTCTTATAGGAAATTCACGAGGTGATTTTATATTTTTTAGTATTCTAATTAATTTTAACTCGTCGAGTGAAAAGATTACAACTTTTATAGATATTTTCTAACTTCACAACTTGAAAAAAAGTGTATAAAGTTTTTGTTCTACCATTAACTTTGACAATAGCATAACTGTGCTGTTTTGAAGGAAGAATGTTTAATAAAAAGTAAATATGGACCATTTTTTCAATCCCATGGACTGAAAACAAGGCAAAAAATGTTCTTGCAATATCTGCTAAAATTGCATAAAACTGTTGCTCCTAAAAAGTTTCTGCTAACAAACCTGAAAACTGGAATCACAAAGCTTCAAAATGTTTTTTTAAAGTCAAGATACGATCATTTTTTAAAGAAATACAGCCTGTAAAAAATCACCGAAAAATTTCTTGCTCCCGAATTTTTTTGAATAGTGTATTATTATTGTATGCGTCCTGACCTTTGCTTAAGATCTGGACCTGGACCGTCCGTTCTCCCTGGACGCTGATCTCGACCTTCCCCGGCTGCTCTTGCTGTCAGATCTGCTGCGACTTCTGGAAGGCGAACGTCTTTTGCTGCTTCGGCGTCCTCGCGGAGACCGAGAACGTGACCTGCACCAAAATAAAACGAAATATTTAACCCACCTGAGCGCCCGAGTCAGGCCACTTGACACCTACCTTCTACGACCGCCGCCTCCACGATAGCGGTTGCGTGGTGATGTGGGCCTTCCGTAACGGGCCATCTGCACTCTCAACTCCCTGCCGTCCAAGATGCGTCCGTCCATGGCGTCTAGCGCGTCTTCGGCGTCCCTCTTGTCATAGAATCTGCAAAAACAGAAAACACATTATGTAAAGTAAACAGCACTTTTGAAAGATGTCACAGTTTCTTTTGAATACGAGAGCTGAACGTGACGATGCTATTTCCGGTGCTCTTGTGTGGTAGTTCAGCGGCCGCAACCTGTGTTAGTGAAGCAATTTCACACCCAGGTGTGGGATTTTCGGGTTGTGGAAATTTTGATATAAATCGGCCTCCATTGGTGTATTTCGTTGTCGGGTCCATTTTCTCACCCTCTTGGGGATTTAGTCATCATTGCAGCTTCACCTAAACCATCGATAAAAAAGATGGAGAGTAGGGTATGATTTTCTACCACAAAATTATTAGATTGAGAGAAGAATTTTGTTATAAAAATAAAATTCGTTATGTTTAAGAACTGCTATAAAATTATTATTCTGAATAAAAACAAACATAATTTACTTTATCTAGATGTAATTAATTTTTATTTGACCTTAAACAGAAACTATAACTAACTTTTTTAATTTTCTCTGCAGTAATAAAAATTCGATAACACTCAATTCCTCCCTTGTTCAAAATACAAAAATTTTATCAAAGTTATAAATTTATATTATTGATGTAAATAATGAAAATCGGCGCGATCAAGGGGAGGAAATTGTGGGTACTGTTGCGTCTTGTGAAACTTCGGATTTTACTGTTTTCTCACTTGAAACTTATAGAGGGTTGTCTGATAAATTATTTTGCATCATAAAAAGTGTGGATGAATCACGCTTTTCATTAATTTTTTTTTTCCCAAAAGACTGTATTTTTTAGCAGAGATTTTCCCATTTCCACCGACATCTACCATATGACGCTGACATCTGTGGATATGTCGTATATGAGAGGCGCTTGCCTGCGGCGTTGCCGGATTGGGCTCCGTATTTAGGGAAAAATATGAAAAGTGGAATATAAATATTAATGAAACACAAAAACAAAAAACTGAAACAAACAACTGTAGTAAAATTAAAAGTTATTCTTACTAACATATAAAACAAAAAATAACAAACAGCAGTAAAATAAAGAGCAATTCTAAGTGATTATAAAAGACACAAATAAAACAGTAGTAAAACAAAAAACAATTCCATTTAATTATAAAAAATCAAAACATAAACAGTAAATTAAAAAGCAACTTGGATGGAATGAAATTGTTCTTTGTTTTACTGTTTTCACTTTTTGTTTTGTGTTGTCACTTAAAATTGCTTTTTATTCAACATGAATTTGTTTTTTTTTGTTTTACTGTTTTTATTTTTTGTTTTTTATAATAACTTAGAATTGCTTTTTATTTTACTGCTGTTTGTTATTTTTTGATTTTTATAATTACATGGAATTAGTTTTTGTTTTACTACTGTTTTTATTTTTTGTTTTTATAATTTTTTATAATTATCATTTTTTAGCTTACTACTGTAATTTTTTAATTATACTTATTAGGAATCACCTTTTATTTTGCTACTGTTGTTTGATTCAGTTTTTCGTTTTTGTGATTCATTAATTAATATACATGTATATAAATTTTCAACTTTCCATATTTTACCCTAAGTGCGAAGCCCAATCCGGCAACACCGCAGGCAAGCGCGTCTCGTATATGACATATGCACAGACGTCTACGACATATGGCAGATAGATGGCGGTGGAAATAATGATGGAAACAGCCAAAAATACAATGTTTTCATGAAAAGCGTGCTTCATCCACACTTTTTTTGTTTCTAAATAATTTATCAGACTACCCTCTAAAAGTTTTAAGAGAAAACACAGTCAAATCGGAAGTTCTACAAGACCCAACAGCTACAAAGTCTGGAATGAAAAGACAGGTGCTAGGCATAGTTTCTTACTACAACTAAACATTTAAACTACCACCCTAATGCCAAAAAGTGCATAGATTGTCGTATCTCTATATACACTTTTTGTCGGAGCTCTAAACACTTCTTTCAGAAATGTCAATCTCAGAACTACAAATATGGCCGTCAGATGTTTTGTGTTAACATTTTAAAAACATCATTTATTGAGTCAAAGAAAATTAGAAAAACTGAAAATCTCGATATCATCCGTACCTCAATCGTTTCTTAGCGCCCCACAAACTATGTTTCAACAGTTTTTAAGTAATCAAAATTTCTATAAAACCCGACTCGAGCCCCTATTCTACGGCCGCTACCGGTGAATGACCCCTCACCTTTCATCATGTACAGTTTTGCTGATGCAGAAATTAATGTGTAATTCGAAAATACATTGAAAGACTTGGACGATAAACCCTAGACGCTTCAGCATCCCTCTGAAAAGAATTCGTTTACTGCAAAACCCAAGCAAAAAATCTCTCACCTGACGAAAGCAAATCCTCTGCTCTCCCTGGTAAACCTGTCCCTGGGGATGTAGATGTCCCCGACTTCGCCGCAACGCTCGAAGACTCTCCTCAAGTCGTCCGGGGTGGTTCGGTACGTAAGGTTGTCCACTTTCAACGATACCATGCCCTCTATGCGAGGCGGTGGCCTACCGTAACTCATTTTCCGTAGCTGATTCTGCTACTTTACCGCTGGCTAACAGGTAATGCTTTTGGACGATCAAAATGCGAAGATATTTACTATGAATTGCGCTGGAAATGCAAACACAATATGGCGAATCGGCTATCGGGAAAAGAGGGAGAAGACGAGCACGGAACATGAAGAATAGGAGAAGGTTGATGACGCCAAGCTAAGAATGGAACATCAATAACGACTAGTGTTGGGGTTGGGATAGATTTGTACTAGGTGACAGAAGAATAAGTAAATGTGGATATAGCTAAGTGTAGGGTTCTATGATAATAGCCCGGTTTGTTGAAAATTACGGAATAAAAATGACGAATAGGTACATCCTTGTTTCTGTGAGCCTCTGACACTGACAGATTTCAAGCGATTATATTTAATTTTGATCCATAACTGCTCCAAGTAGCCATGTGTCGTTCGCGGACGAGTCGTTCAAAATGAACGAAATGAGCGATGAATGAACGACTCTTTTGTTACATATAGCTCGTTCAATTGTGCAGTATGCAGCAAATGAACTGCGTACTGACAACACACACACTATCTAGGGAACAAAAATTGTTTTGTTTTGAGATATCTCATTAAATTATACTGTAGCGTTTTTCTGGGTTCTTTTGGGTGTGGATTAAAACACTGGATTCCACAAACAGAAATGCACTGATTCATTTAACTTGATAAAACATTTATATACACCACTATTTATGTCTGACTAATTCTTATGTCACCACTGACTGCACTATACCTCACTCCGCTCTGCTACTCTACCGTATTCCGTACTCTGCCTCCATCTCTCGTCCGCCGAGTTATATATAGTCCCAATTACCGCTTCGAGAAAGATCACAAAGCGACATCTAAAATGTTTGAGATCACTTCGCGTGGATCTAGTCGGTCCTCACAGACGCCGCCAGACGGCTTGTGCGGTCGTGTAAAAGCAGAGGTCGGCAATTAAGCTCTAGCGAGTAGAAGACTCGCCCAACAGATGGCGCTATTTATCACAATACGTTGAAATGATGGGATTTGAGAGCAAAAATTGTATTTTGATTCAGAATTCGGTAATTCCTCAAAACTGGACGACATTATCCCTTCTTTTTTCGGAAGACAGTATACATTCCTTATTTTCAATTTCTACCAAAAATATTAATAATTATACTTAATACTATAAATACGATAACACCAGCAACCCAACCGTTCATTTCATTTTCATAGTATGATGTATAATTCTCTGACTCAGTGAGTCGTTACTATAGGCAACACAATACTCTCGTCAGCTTCGAGGCCGGTCGGTAATCGTATCGTTCAGATGAACGACTCCGAACGAACGACTCACTAAAGAGAGATGCACGGAAAGCGCGAGCTCAGAGAAAAGAGTCGTATGTCTCAACCCTAGCTCCAAGCACTGGTAATCGTTAACCGCCACATCAAGAGGCTCTACATTAAAAAAAGTTTGACATAAATGCCAATCCCAACATCACGTGATCCTCTGTGTTTACAGATGAAATTATAAGCTAGCGATGCTGACAGTTGACAGACTCCGAAGGAATGAGACGATCTGTAAGCTAAGTTTCACTGTTCATTCTTATTTGTATTTTTGGTTGCGGTTTTTACATTTTGGCTGCCACTTGTGCCATTTTATTTCTAAATTATTTCCCATAGCAGAAAAATGGATGAGGTTGGGTTCCAGGCAATAGAGTCTGACACCAAGCTATTTGAACTTGATAACACCTCTTGGAAACTCAGTTTCAAATGTGAGACCGATGAAAACACAAACAACGCAGTTTTGGATGGGTATGGCAGTCTTTATTTTATGTATATTTTGTATATATCCCTATATTTATCTGGTACATACTTTCAAAAAATAATACTAATGCTTATTTCAGAATTCCAGTTCCAGAAATTACAGATCAAATAAAAATTAAACAAGAGACTGATGATTATTTTGTAGACGAACTAGCTTCTAGGTAAATCCTCTTTCCTATTATTTGCTTTGGAAAAATAGATAATGCCTAGACTCTTGGGTGCCCTTAGGAATCTTCTCCAAGGGATAGTTGAGGGGTAATATGTTTTCTTTCTGCTAAGCAAATTATTGTGATTCTGCTCAGCAACACATCTGGGATGATGGGAATTGCATATGAATATTCAGATATGAAGTAGTGTTGAATGCATTTTGGAGATTATATTAATTGTAACTATCTATGTTATGTACTTTTTAATCAGTCAAAAATGTTTTAGGACTGCAATATCTATGTGTACAGTTAACGAGCACAATTATGGTAAGGTTTGGATCAAAAGTGAGGAGGAAGAGATGCAGGACGAACATTGTCTTGATGACAGCAACAATTACCCAGTTATGGAAATAACAGAGGAAATCATCATCAAGGATGAGTGTAATGATGATAATATTTTCTTAGATGCTACAGTTTCTAATAGGTAACTAATTTTTCTCAGTTGTTTGCCTGTCTTATTAATGATTTTGCTAAAAATTTCTGTCCTGGGTCTGATCGTTAAATATGCCTTAGTAAAATGTTGTCCGTTAATAAGATGCAAGGTGTTGAAGATTAATTTTCATATTTCCTTTTTCCATATAACTCACTCTGTGTTTATGTATCGTTATGAAAATTGGGAATCTGAGGTTGTGAGGATGAAGAATAAAAATGGTTATATTGGAATTATTCCGTTTTAGAAGCGGTAGTGAATATAGTGTTGATAGTGGCGAAAATGTCAAAATATCGCTAAATGAGTATTTCAGGCTTTTTTGGGGCGCAAGAAATTTCACCAAAAAAAATTTTTTTTAGGTATAAGATTCGGTAGTTTGAGTTATAGCCAACTTTCGAAAAATTTGAGAAATCACTATTTTTAGGATAGTCCAAAGATCAAAAAGACGCATCAAAAAATTTCTAAGATCAAAAATTGAGAATCTGACAGCCCCAAACTTTGCCAAAAAACCTGGCTTCCTTTGTTCACCCTGTATAAGTGGGTAAATAAGAGAAATATGCCGGTCGAACTCCATACGTATTCTCAAAGAGATGTTCAAGAACCTCCCGACAACCGCAAGTCGATATCTCTTTCCGGTCCAAAAATATAAATATTTGAATTTGGGTAAATTTTTTCATGTTGCAAAGCAACTGTCCACCAGTTTATTGGCCAGTTATAAGCCCCGAGTTCGAGATACTTGATAATCCCTTTCCAAAAATGATAATAGTAATATTTTCTTTCAGTGCTTTAAATCAGGAATTCCCAATGAAGCAACGAGCTGGGGTTGACAAAAAACCAAACTCTGATTCGTTTTTTTGTCAAAATTGCAATTATTCTGCCAAATATAAATATCTTCTGATTAGTCATATGAAAGAACATAGAAATCAGAATCGTAAAAACATGCACGGTTCTAGCTATAAACGTTGTAAGCATTGTGAGGCAAAGTTCAGAACCAAAGCAAGTCTAGATGATCACATGATTAGAAAACATGCTAATTTTGTTGCATCCGTTTCTAATAAAATATATGAATGTACATATTGTGAACATAAAACAACCCATAAAAGTAACCTTTATGCACATATGTCAAAGCACTCAGATTTAATAGATAATTATAAATTCAGTATATGTATTTACTGTAATGCAAAACTCAAAAGCACTCAGAGATTGAATGATCATATAGTCAGGAAACATCCTGAGTTTATTGCCTCCGTTTCTGCTAAAATACATGAATGTAAACATTGTAAATTTAAAACAACGACGAAAACTGATTGGGTTAGACATATCATGTTGAAACATTCAGAGACAGTAGATGATTATAAATTCAATGTATGTATTCACTGTAATGCGAAATTTAAAAGCGCAAGGCCATTGAATGATCATATAGTCAAGAAACATCCTGAGTTTATTGCGTCCGTTTCTGCTAAAATACTTGAATGTAAACATTGTGAATATAAAACAACTATAAACGCCAGTTGGGATAGACATAAGTTGACACATCCAGAGACAGTAGATACTTCTAAATTCCTCATATGCGTTCACTGTGAGGCAACATTCAAAGATAAAACAGGACTGAACAATCATATAATCAGCAAACATCCCGACTTTATTGCATCCGTTTCTAGTAAAATATATGAATGTACATATTGTGAATATAAAACTACCAAAAAAAGTAAGATCGATAGACATATGTCAAAGCACTCTAAATTAGTAGATAATTATAAATACAGAATATGTATTCACTGTAATGCGAAACTCAAAAGCCCAATGACATTGAATGATCATATAGTCAGGAAACATCCCGAGTTTATTGCATCCGTTTCTGCTAAAATACATGAATGTACATGTTGTGCATTTAAAACAGTGAAAAAAACTGATCTTGCTACACATATGATGAAGAAACATGGTATGGATAGAAGAAAAGCGGGCCTGAATGATCATATAGTCGAGAAACATCCTGAGTTCAACAACATTGATAGACATATATCAAAGCACTCAAAATTAGTTCATAATTCTAAATTCACTAAATGTATTCACTGTAATGTGAAACTCAAAAGCCCAATGACACTGAATGATCATATAATTAAGAAACATCCTGATTTTATTGCATCTGTTTCTGCTAGAATTTATGAGTGTACACATTGCGCATATAGAACAACCATCAAGGCACAGTTTTCTGAACATATGTCAAAACATCCAGAGTCAGTAGATACTCCTAAATTCTTCATATGCATTTGCTGTAAGGCAAAATTCAAAGGTAAAACAGGATTAAATGAACATTTAATCAACAGACACCCTGACTTTATTGCATGTGTTTCTAGCAAAATACATGAATGTACACATTGTGCATATAAAACTACCAAAAAAAGCAGGATCGATAGACATATGTCAAAGCACGCAAACTTAGTTGATAATTATAAGTTCAGTATATGTATTCACTGTAACGCGAAACTCAAAAGCAAATGGACGCTGAATAATCATATAGCTACGAAACATCCAGATTTTATTGCATCCGTTTCTGCTAAAATACATGAATGTACATATTGTTCATATAAAACAGTCATAAAAACTAATCTTGCTACACATATGAAGAGGAACCATCGTATGTGCTAATTATAAATCTGTCACTGCGTCAAGTGCCTACAAGGTATGGTTCAATATAATGTGAAATGCAAAAGATTTTATTGTTTTTAGTCAAATACACATTACGCTTATAAAACAAAAAACGGTGGGGTGTTTTGCCAATGTAACCAACAAAGATGAGTCGATTTCCGATGTTGGGACCAGTGGTGTCAAATATGCATTATCTGCCCAGAGAGGGAATGCAAGATAAAGGGATGAGGACGGGAAATGGCGATGTTGTTGACAGTAACCGCATATTTTTTTTTCAAATAAATAGCTATATAAGCTATAGTGTGCTCAGAATCTGATAAGCTGTCTCGTTCGGTACCTGAATGGTTAATGCTCATAGGACCAAAACATCATAAACTTAGTAAAGGATCTGACCGCGAACGACAACTTGTCATACAATATATCGGCCCACCTTTTCTGGTTTCTGTGATACTTTTAAGGCCCTTACCGTTTCCCCTCTTGCATCCTGTTGCTGGGCAGGTAATCGTACTATTTATAGTGCTGAGGTTCTTCAATTCAAAAAATATGATTTTGTGTTTGTTTTATTTACTTGTTTATTTTTGTATATAATAATAAATAATCTTTATTTCAAAATAACAGTGCTCAATTACAACGTAATGTCCGCTGTCTGGTGAAATATACGTCACATAATGCCATAATAGCAAACAAATGCAAGAAACAAAAATAGTGTCTAAATATTACACAATGTTTGTTTCACATTTCTAGATATTCATCGAGCCCGTATGGCTCTAGATTCATTAGTAACTTGTGGATACATTTCTTGAACTCCTTTATATTCGACAACTTTTTAACTTCCTGGGCTAACTTATTGTGAAGCGTTGCACAACTGTAATGTACGTTTTTTTCGGTAACAGTTAGATGATGAATTGGGTACAAAAGAGTTATATCTCTGTTCCTTGTATTGTAATTGCTTGGGATTCTTATAAAGTACGCAATATTTTTAAATGTAAAAATCAATATTTCCTGAATATATATTGCCACTATGGTGAGTATTTTATTCCCTTTAAATTTTTCTCTACATGTTTCTCTACGCGGAATTTTTAACATGCATCTCAATTCTCGTTTCTGTACCCGAAAGAGCCTGTTTATCTGGCTACTGTGTCCTTAAAAAAATATTCAAAAACGTGCAATGGACTCAAAGTTGGCATGGTAAACAATACCAGATCCTTAATAAAAGGATCTGACCGCGAACGACAGCTTGTCATACAATATATCGCCCCACCTTTTCTGGTTTCTGTGATACTCTTACGACCCTTACCGTTCCCCTCTTGCATCCTTTTGTTGGGCAGGTAATAGTACTATTGATAGTGCTGAGGTACTTACTTAATATCCTAATACTATAACAAGTGCTGTTTAACCGTTTTTTTAGATGATTTCTAGATTAATTTTCATATTTCTTTTTTCAATATAACTCACTCTGTGTTTGTGTATCGTTATGAAAATTGGGAATTTGAGGAGTGGGGATAAAGAATAAAAATGGTTATATTGGATTTATTCCGTTTTAGAAGCGGTAGTGAATATAGTGTGGATAATGGCAAACATCTCAAAATAACGTTCAATGAAAATTTCAGTCTTTTTTGGGGCGCAAGAAATTTCACAAAAAAAAATTTATTTAGGTATAAAATTCAGTAGTTTGAGTTATAGGCAACTTTCAAAAAATTTGAGAAATCACTATTTTTATGATAGTCGTAAGATCAAAAAGATGCATAAAAAAATTTCTAAGATCATAAATTGAGAAACTGACATAGCCCCAAACTTTGCCAAAAAACCTGGCTTTCTTTGTTCACCCTATATAAGTGGGTAAATAAAAGAAATATACTTCTCAAAGAAATGGTCAAGAACCTCCCGACTACCGCAAGTCGATATCTCTTTCCGGTCCGAAAATATCAATATTTGGATTTGGGTAAGATTTTTCCATGTTGCACCAGTTTATTGGCCAGTTACAAGCCTCGAGTCCGAGATACTTGAAAATCCCTTTTTAAAAATGATAATAGTAATATTTTCTTTCAGTGCTTTAAATCAGAAATTCCCGATGAAGCAACGAGCTGTGGTTGACAAAAAACCAAACTCCGAGTCGTTTTTTTGTAAAAATTGCAATTATTCAGCCAAATATGAATATCTTCTGATTAGTCATATGAAAGAACATAGAAATCAGAATCGTAAAAACATGCACGGTTCTAGCTATAAACGTTGTAAGCATTGTGAGGCAAATTTCAGAACCAAAGCAAGTCTAGATGATCACGTGATTAGAAAACATGCTAATTTTGTTGCATCCGTTTCTAATAAAATATATGAATGTCCATATTGTGAACATAAAACAACCCATAAAAGTAACCTTTATGCACATTTGTCAAAACACTCAGAATTATTATTCAGTATATGTATTCACTGTAATGCGAAACTCAAAAGCACTCAGAGATTGAATGATCATATAGTCAGGAAACATCCTGAGTTTATTGCCTCCGTTTCTGCTAAAATACATGAATGTAAACATTGTAAATTTAAAACAACTATGAAATCTGATTGGGTTAGACATATTATATTGAAACATTCAGAGACAGTAGATGATTATAAATTCAACGTATGTATTCACTGTAATGCGAAATTTAAAAGCGCAAGGCCATTGAATGACCATATAGTCAAGAAACATCCTGAGTTTATTGCGTCCGTTCCTGCCAAAAATACATCAATGTAAACATTGTGAATATCAAACAACTATAAACGCCAGTTGGGCTAGACATAAGTTGACACATCCAGAGACAGTTCCTCATATGCATTCACTGTGAAGCAACATTCAAACATAAAACAGGACTGAACAACCATATAATCAGGAAACATCCCGACTTTATTGCATCCGTTTCTAGTAAAATACATGCATATAAAACTACCAAAAAAGCAGGATCTATAGACATATGTCAAAGCACGCAAACTTAGTTGATAATTATAAATTTAGTATATGTATTCACTGTAACGCGAAATTCAAAAGCAAATGGACCCTGAATAATCATATAGCCACGAAACATAAAGATTTTATTGCATCTGTTTCTGCTAAAATACATGAATGTACATGGTGTCAAATATGCATTATCTGCCCAGAGAGGGAATGCAAGATAAAGGGATGCGGGCGGGAAATGGCGATGTACGAAATTTTGCATGGAATATTAGTTGTTGGGCTATAACTTGAAATATTGTAAATTCGTTGAAAATATTATTGAGCGCACGAAAGCATTCTTTTCGAAACGTAAACAGTGACCGCATATTTTTTTCAAATAAATAGCTATATAAGCTAAAGTTATGAAAATGCTCAGAATCTGATAAGCTGTCTCGTTTGGCAACACTGTTGAGTAAACGGTACCTAAAGGGAACTTAAATCAAATTCAAGCGAATAACCAAAATTTCTGTGTTATGTGCCGCGGTTATAATATGGTTCAAGATGACACACGGGTTGATGACGTCAGTTACACGAATCGCTTGAACGCGTTGGTTTTAACCGCGGTTTTGTTGCAGGTTGTTTATTTTAGAAAAGCGCGTATATAATCTCTGATTATTTTTATTATCACTTAATAGTCGGTGCTTTTTCGTCTACAACTGCATATGGAAAGCTTAAATAAGAAACCTTTCATAATATTCATGGGAGAAATGTTTTTTTCAGATTTTTTTTTAATGATGGAACCATGGCTTTGTAGCTATGATAACTTTCAATTCTCTAAATTTTTCCGCATGTCAAAGAAAACATTTATTGATTCAGCAGAAATTTTGAAAAAAGAAATTAGCAAAACCGTATACAGGTGGATATCATCTAGTGAGTTTATATGGCCATATTTTAATATTCTTGTATATGGCTACACAGGATACTTTGTTAAGCATAGGAACTACATTTAAAGTGTCCCCAACAACCGTAATGAGTATTACTAATAAGGTGCTCCACTTTATGGTAAAACTGAAGTCAGCCTGTATCAATTTTCTCAAAAATGAAGCTGAAGTACAGTAACAATATCCAATACCCGGCAAAATTCTAACTTGTCACATTTCAAATAATAACCAGAAATATAAAACTACTCTTGAGTTGGGTAAATACCACAATTTTGCGGTGATAACTATGACATATAACAGCTGATTCGTGACGTCACGGATCTTATAACCAAACTGATAACTACACTCGCTTGAACGGATTGGTAAATACCAACCCAAAATGGTAAATACCATTTCCATTTGGTTATCCGCTTGAATTTGATTTTAATAAAAGGATCTGACCGCGAACGACAGCTTGTCATACAATATATCGCCCCACCTTTCCTGGTTTCTGTGATACTATTACGAGCTTACGACCCTTACCGTTCCCCTCTTGCATCCTTTTGTTGGGCAGGTAATAGTACTATTTATAGTGCTGAGGATCTTCATTCTCAAAAATGTTATTTCGTGTATGTTTTATTTGTTTATTTTTGTATATATAGTTTAATAAAATATTTTTACTACTTGTTACACTTTATTTTGCATGCCAAATTGTTACAATTTTGGTGATAACTATAACTGAATTACGCTGAAAGATACAAATGAAAGGCGTTGTAAAGTAAATGCTTATTAATTCCGCATGCAAACATATAAAACTAAAACCATTCTGATGCAATAGTTGCCACAACTTTACGTATTTCCACCAACATATTCACTTTTAATCGGATGTACTGGACAGTAGCAAGTTGCTTACTTTAGGGTTTGGCATATTTTGTGTTGTTATCACCTAACATCAATCCACCCTTTGGGGTCACACCCCTTTCCTCATTTTTCTCTCGAGGTCGCGCCTCTTTTTCTATTACGAGTCGCTCAACTATTTGAGATGGGCTTTCATGAAACTAAATTTTGTTACTTTGCGATTTCTGTTATGGGTTATGTAAAAATAATATAATCTAAAATAGCACAAGTGGCAGCCAAGAATGTGAAAACCGGGGCAAAAGAAATCATTCAGAAGATCATGCACATATTACTTCGGGTTTTGGGGAGTTATTGCATGTTACGGTATGTGTGCGATCACCAGGCGAGGAAGCAGCTTTATTCAACAACTCTGTCAAAGAACTTCCAAATACTCCACACTGTTGTGGTTAAAAGAGATGCCGAGAAAATTCTTAAAAAAATCAATTTTTAATCGTGGTAGTATCTAGTACATTTGTAACGGTTCGCCCAACTCTATAATAAAAACTTGACGTACAATTATATGACAAACTTCATTTATTTGTGTTCTGTAAAGTGTTTTTTATTTCTAAAACCTTTAAAATAAACATAGACATAGAAGCAGTTATTATTAATGAAAATACTTCGGTGTTCGGTCAATTCATTGTATTTGTCACTACAATAAGGTTATGTATAATTTACTAGTGCCACAGCTTAGACAGATGTGAAACTCTCCTGTCAGTGCCAGAAACCGCCGTCATTTCGGCGGAGAAAGTCGAATATAAATTCCCCCAGTACAACGACGAAAGAGGTTTTAGCCAGTCTTGTGTTTTTTTATTTTAGTGCTCAGCAGCAGCCGGCGCTGCCTCCTGTCATGCCACCGGCTGCACATATTATTTGCAAGCTTAAAATGATAATATTTCGATATGATAATGTACCAGCTGCTGCTGGGCACAAAAAACTTTCGTATTTATACTGGGGCAATTTACATTGTACTTTCTCCGCCGACATGGCTGTCGTTTTTGACACTGACAGGAGAGTTTGATAGCTGAAGCTGATTTTTATTTAAGCTATGCTAGTGATATGTTAAAGTGGAAACTTCTGAATAGAATTTTAACATTTCAATCAGAGTTATTAACGAACCGGCCCCTTGTGCATATGAGTATAGTCAATCATGGATGCTGAGGTGCTAGCTACTGAAGAGATCGTGAAGATAGAAATGGAGGATGTAGAGGCAGACACCAAGCTGTTTGAACTTTATAATGCCTCTTGGAACTTGAGTTTTAAACGTGAAACGGATGAAAACACAAAAAATGCAGTTTCGGTTAGGTAAACCATTCAAATGTAGTTTCTGGGTGTTTTGTTATTTTATACTTTATATTCATATGGTTCCTACTTTCAAGGATTATGTTTGCATGTTTCAGAATTCCAGTTCCAGAAATTACAGATCAAATAAACTTTAAAAGTGAGCCTGAAGAAGAAGTGAAGGTTGAAAGCTGTCTTGACAACAGTGAAAAGTACTCTGTTTTGGAAATAATGGAGGAATTTGTAATCAAAAATGAGTGTAATGATGATGACATGTTCTTTAATACAACTACAGAAGCAGTTTCGAATAGGTAACTATTTTTTGACAATTCTTCGTACTTCTACTTGTGTAAAATTTTAAAAATATGCCAGATGTTTTTGTTGGTCTCACAATAATTTGGAAAGTATGTCAGGTTCTGATGAAATTTTGACACAATGGTACAACTATGACATGCAAGAAAAACCATTTAGTTTTTATCTTGATCCAGTGGTGTTGGAGTTACTGGCAAAAAAATTATGTACCCTTCCATTTTTTGACATTTCAGAGACTACTGATCATTTTCAGAAAAAAATTGTGAATGCAAAAATTGTGCTTTTTTTTGGTTATGCAGGGTGTGGCAGAAAGACTTCTCCTATTTGGAGAACTGATCAAGATATAGAAAAAATACTTTATTTTTTTATAAGCATATTCAGTATCGGACAAAATAAGAGAGACTAATGATGACTTTTATGAAATACAGAAATATATTGAAATTTTGTAATTAAGCTAAAAGATTTATGTCATTAAGTAGTTTCAAATGAAATTCTATTTATTTACATTAAGTTGCTCTTTTATTAATTTTTGCGAGCAACCTGATTTATAAGCTTCTATAATTTTCTCTTTTTAATCTATGGAGCAATGTTTTCCACAATGCATTGCTACTAAGTTCCTCTGTTGTTTCAATCCATTACTTGACCAACTGCACCGTAGCAAAACTAAATACAAAACGTGTCTCTCTAATTCTGTCACAGGTATTTCTTTATAGATACAAAAAAAAATTCAAATACCATCAGCTACACAACTGTTGAAAATGAAATTCTTTTGGTCACCGATAATACACTGCTTAACAAAAATTAATATTCGATAAGAATATCAGACAACTGGAATGGACAAATAGCACGGACTCTCTAATTTTGTCTGATACTGTAGTTTCTGGGTGTTTTGTATTTTATACCCTATATTTATATGGTACCTACTTTCAATGATTATGTTTGCCTGTTCAGAATTCCAGTTCCAGAAATTACAGATTTCCTTAAAAGTGAGCCTGAAGTAGTGAAGGTTGAAAGCTGTCTTGACAACAGTGAAAAGTACTCTGTTCTGGAAATAAAGGAGGAATTCATCATCAAAGATGAGTATAATGATGATGACATGTTCGTTGATACATCTATAGAAACAGTTTCCAATAGGTAACTATTTTTTGTCAGTTGTTTATAATTCCACTTGTGTAAAATGTTGAAAATGTTCAGGTTGTTTCGTTGGTCTATCTGCTAATTGTTGGTCTCATAATGTGGAAAGTACATGTCAGGTTTTGATAAAATTTTGACACAATGCTACAACTATGCCACAGCAGTTTATCAACTGGCCTTCATTTTAGAGACTGCTTATCATTTTCTGAAAAAATTGTAAATATTAAAAATTGGGTCTTTTTTTGTTATGCAGAGTGTGGCAGCAATTTAATGTCATTTTGAGTCAATGTATTTTGAAAATGACATCACTCAAGTGTGCGCCTTCATTGAGTAAGCCTTTCCCAAAGGAAAAAAAATTACATGGGGTCAAATCCGGTGAGTACGGAGGTCACCCGATGTCGCCGCTCAAAGAAACAACGTGTCCAGGAAACGTTTCTCGTAAAAGTGCCATTGAATGAAGTGCTGTGTGGACTTGTTGAAACCGTACATGTTCTCTGGTCCACGCTCATCGACAAGAGTAGCCACTCTGGGCCACAGAAAGGTCTCTAGCATCACACAATACCGATCTGCGCTTACTGTAACAGTAACAGCGCTTTTTCTAAAAAAAGTATGGGCTCGGATAAATAAGTTGGCAGGGGTTACTGAGAACCTCATTGGAACTTTTGATCGCCATGTTGAAAATAATCACCGCTACGAAATTTCAACCAATTTAGTGGAAAGCCATGTTCCATAAGAAAACTGTTTTTGTTTTGGTATGAACAATTTTTTTTGTAACTTGTTTCCACAACATTATTTCTGTTAATATTGCTAATTTCAACTCCATAAATGAGTGAGTGAATCGTGAAATTAGAGGCATTCTGGCCACCATAAGGAGCCCTACACTGAGTTCCCGTGCCTAACGGAGATGTCTGGAGATACGTCTCCATTTCTGAGAGTGTTGCCTTGCAATCCACGTCTCCATTTTCCTTCTTCTCCTAGGCCCGCCGTCCTCCAGAAAGCGAGTTACACAAGCCAGAATCGCAAAGATTTCCGCCTGGAAAATAGAGTGTACGAGGGTGGTCCCAGAAGTACCCGACCCGATGAAGAAAATTTTTTTGTAAAAAATGTATTTATTTTTCAACATAATCTCCGTTGAGAGCTCTATACACTTTTCCCAGCGATGTTCAATAAGTTCGATACCCTTTTTATAATAAGACCTGTCTTGCTCCTCAAAATAGCCATTAACTGCCGACATCACTTCTTCATCGTTGGAAAATCTTTGACCACTGAGTCATTTTTTCAAGTTTGGAAACAGAAAATAATCCGTGGGGGCTAAATCTGGTGAATAGGGTGCATGAGGTAGCAATTCAAACTTTAATTCGTTAATTTTGGCCATTGCAATAACGGATTTGTGAGCTGGTGCATTGTCATGATGAAACAACACTTTCTTCTTAACCAAATGCGGCCGTTTTTGCTTGATTTTATCGCTCAAACGTGGCAATAAGTTCGCATAATACTCGCCGTTGATAGTTTTACCTTTTTCAAGATAGTCAATGAAAATTATCCCACGCGCATCCCAAAAAACCGACGCCATAACCTTGCCTGCAGATAAAACGATCTTCGCCTTCTTTGGAGCCGGTTGTCTCTTTTGAGTCCGTTGTTTTGATTGTTCTTTTGTCTCGGGAGTGAAGTGATGGTCCCATGTTTCATCCATGGTTATGAAACGACGCAAAAATTCTTCTTTGTTGCCGTGAAACTTCGCTAAACACTCAATTGAAACATCTTCACCTCATTTGGTCGACCACTGCGATGCTCGTCTTGGCAGCTCATACGGCCTCGTTTAAACTCTGCTACCCAATATTTTACTGTTGTAAACGAAGGAGCAGACTCACCCAGAGTAGAATCCAACTCAGCTTTTATATTGGTTGGACTGAAGCCTTTGAAATAAAAGTATTGTACCACATAACGATGACCAATTTTCTCCATTTTCACAAATTCACTGAAAACGTTCAGTATTGATGGCTGCCAAACAAATACTAAACAACGTGGCGTCTTCAAACTTGACGCATATGCTTTATAGATTGCGTACTTTCTAATACAATTATATTTTTCAAACAACTATCACCATCTCTAGGTCAGGCCGGGTACTTCTCGGATCACCCTCGTAGTTCTAGGTCCAGTGCCGTCACTCCATAAAACTTGAATATTATTGTCTGAAATAATGATAGTTTGTTTTGTTACAGTGTGTTGAAACAGCAGCCTGTAGAGTGTAAAAAATTGAGCAGAAATTTAGTTTATTGTCATATTTGTGATTATTCTGCTAGATATAAGTATATTCTGGTTAGGCATATGAAAGAACATAGAAATTTAAATGAACATGGTTCTAGCTATAAACATAACACGTGTATACACTGTAATGCAAAGTTCAGATCCAAAAGGAGTCTAGATGATCACGTCATTAAACAACATTCTGATCTTGTCGAGTCCGTTTCTAGTAAAACTCATAAATGTTCGCATTGCGCGTATAAATCAACCAATAACGGTAATTATAGGAGACATATGCTGAAACATTCTAAGACAGCAAGAGCAAGTAACTACAAATTCGGCATATTCATATGTACTCACTGTAATGCGAAATTCAAAAGGAAATGTACACTGTATGATCATATAATTAGGGAACACCCTGATTTTATTTCGTCCTTGTCTTGTAAATTACATCATTGCACACGTTGCGCTTACACAACAACCATCAAGTCTCGTTTAGCTAGACATATGTTATTTAAACATTCAGAGTCAGTAACTATAAATTAATCATATGTATTCACTGCAATGCAAAATTTAAAACTAAAATGGTGCTAGATAATCATATAATCAAGGAACATCCTGACTGTATTGCATCCGTTTCTTCTAGAATTTTTGAATGTGAATATTGTGAATATAAAACGACTATGAAGAATCATTTGGCAAGCCACACATTGAAACATCCGGAATCAGTATGTAAATTCAGCATATGTATTCACTGTAATGCGAAATTTAAATTTAAACATAGACTAAATAATCATATAATCAAGGAACATCCTGAGTTTATTGCATCCATTTCTGCTAGAATTCATGAATGCACACATTGTGCATATAAAACAACCTTCAAGACAAGGTTTTCTGAACATATGTTAAAACATCCAGAGACAGCAGATAATTATAAATTCAAAATATGTATTCATTGTAATGCAAAACTCAAGAGCACAAGGATATTGAATGATCATATAGTCAGGAGACATCCTGAGTTTATTGCAACTGTTTCTGCTGAAATACATGAATGTTCACATTGCTCATATAAAACAACCATCAAGGCACAGTTTTCTGAGCATATGTTAAAACATCCAGAGACAGTAGATAATTTTAAATTCCTCGTATGCATTCACTGTAAGGCAACATTCAAAGATAAAACAGGACTGGATAATCATTTAATTAAGAAACACCCTGACTTTATTGCTTCCGTTTCTAGTAAAATCCACGAATGTAAACATTGTGAATATAAAACAATTTTCAAGACCAATTTGACTAGACATGTGATGAAACATCCAGAAACAGTAGATAATTCTAAATTCCTCATATGCAATCACTGTAAGGCAACGTTCAAATGCAAAAGAGGACTGAATAATCATTTAATCAACAAACATCCCGACTTTATCGCATCCGTTTCTTGTAAAATACACGAATGTACACATTGTGCATATAAAACTATCCAAAAAAGCGTGATCGATAAACATATGTCAAAGCACTCAAAATTAGTCGATAATTATAAATTCAAAATATGTATTCATTGTAATGCAAAACTCAAGAGCACAAGGACATTGAATGATCATATAGTCAGGAGACATCCTGAGTTTATTGCATCCGTTTCTGCTAAAATACATGAATGTGCGTGTTGTGCATACAAAACAGTCATAAAAGCTAATCTTGTTAAACATATGAAGAAGAAACATGGTACGTATAGAAAAAAATCGGACATGAATGATCATATAGTCGAGAAACATCCTGAGTTTGTTGCATCCCTTTCTGATAGAATTCATGAATGTACACATTGCGCATATAAAACAACCGACGAGGCCCAGTTTTCTGAACACATGTTAAATCATCTAGAGACAGTTGATAAGTCTAAATCCGGCATATGCATTCACTGTAAGGCAAAATTCCAAGGTAAAACAAGACTGGATAATCATTTAATCAAGAAACACCCCGACTTTATCGCATCCGTTTCTAGTAAAATACATGAATGTAAACATTGCGAATATAAAACAACCATCAAGACCGATTTGACTAGGCACATGATGAAACATCCAGAGACAGTAGATCCTTCTAAATTCCTCATTTGCGTTCACTGTAAGGCAACATTCAAATGCAAAAGAGGACTGAATAATCATTTAATCAACAAACACCCTGACTCTATCGCATCCGTTTCTAGTAAAATACATGAATGTTTAAATTGCGCATACAAAACAATTTTCAAGAGTAGTATAGCAAAACATGTGTTAGAACATTCAGAGTCAGAAGGTGATAGTAAATTCGATACATGTATTCACTGTAGCGCAGCATTCAAAAGCAAACATGGACTGAATAATCATATAATCAAAAAACACCCCGAGTTCATTTCATCGGTTTCTAGTAAAATATATGAATGTACACATTGTTCGTATAAAACAACCTTCAAGAGTCTTTTAGCTAGGCATATGTTGCAGCATCCAGAATTAGTAGATAACTATAAATTCAGCATATGCATTCACTGTAATGCTAAATTCAGAAGCAAAGTAACACTGAACGATCATTTAATCAAGAAACACCCTGACTTTATTGCATCCGTTTCTAGTAAAATATATGAATGTACATATTGTGCACATAAAACAACCCATAAAAGTAACCTTGATAGACATATGTCAAAGCACTCAGAATTAGTAGATGATGATAAATTCGGCGTATGTATTCACTGTAATGCGAAACTCAAAAGCACAAGGACGTTGAATGATCATATAGTCAAGAAACATCCTGAGTTTATTGCATCCGTTTCTGCTAAAATACATGAATGTACATGTTGCGCATATAAAACAGTCATTAAAGCTGAACTTGCTAAACATATGAAGACGAAACATCATACGTAGGGTAAAGCGGGTGAATCGCGCCCCCCTAAGGAAAATGTCGAGTTGTTTAGTCATTTTAGGAAGTTATAACAGGATTAACAATTTTTTTTAAAAACATATTTAAAAAAACTGTCGCTGGCTGGTATTACCCGTACCATGAGTATGGGTATCACGAGTATCCATCACGCTTTGAGGTGAACAGCCGATCACAAAAGCGACATCTTTGTGTTAATTTGTAACGTTGGCAATAATGAATTTCGGGACCGCATTCAGAGCTATTGTTCACATATCAGGATCATATTTTTGAGTGGGTGGGAAAAGTGACAATAAAATGTACAAGTTTATTAGAAAATTATTATAATACATCTGGGATTTACTGATTACCTGATTGCGTAGTATATTCCAGAAGCTGTAAATTTACCTGTAAAAATGATATAGTCACGTATTTCTGGTTTATTGTCCGTCATCAGTGTAACGTAATTCAATTACAGATTAAGTATGTGTATATAATAAATATAGCCTGTTTAAAATATTACACTGATGTAAAACGAATTGGTGTCCTTTCACAGTACAAAGAACCACAACAAAATACGGGTTTGTCTACCTGGAGTTCATCGATCCCTCAGACTTAATTATGTGTTCTGTGCCGATATGGGGAATTTTGAAATATTACCAGATAACTAGCTGTCATTGTCGCGTAATGAATACTCGTGAAATATTGTGTATGCACTATCTGCAATGCAAGGTAAAGTGATGCGGGCGGGAAATGGCGGTGTTATTATTTATTTGAATATTGTTGAGCGCACGAAAAGCATTATTTTCGCGACGTACACAATGACTGTATATTTTTTTTATTTGAATCAATAGCTATGAGCTAAAGTTATGAAAATGCTGAGAATCTAATAAGCTGTCTTGTTTGGACACTGTTGACTGAACGGTACCTGAATAGTTAATGTTGATAGAAGCGCTGTCATTAGGTGTTATTTAATATCTCATATGAGCAAATCATCATCACTTAGTAAGAGCGTACGACAGCTTGTCAGATGATATATCGGCCCGCCTATCCAGGTTTCTGTGATATCCTCCTTACCGTTCCCCTCTTGCATTTTTTTGCTGGGCAGATAATTGTAGTATAGTCCTGAGGTTCTTCAATCTCAAAAAATGTGATATGGTTTTTTTTTATTTATTTTGGTATATATCGTTTAAAATTGAATAAAATATTTTTTACTGGTTACACTTTATTTTCCCAGTGTCCTACAATTTTGTGGTGCTTGGTTCAATAGTCCTAAATCAAAATTTCTTTTCGAAGTTTATTAAGAGTTTGTGTATTTCTATTTTTAGGGATAAAAAAGAAGTAAAAACCTCAACAAATTGCGAAAATTCATTTTCTTTTTTAATGATAGATGCCTCACATACAAGATGATCAAGCTAATTGTGTGCTCGATTTATCGGTGTAAGGCTCATTTTTAGAAAAAATCGTGCGGGGATTAAATCTGATGATCTTGAGCGTTAGATTACATCGCTTAATGGGGAGAGATTTAAACGTATCAGAATCGATCTTTTTTGTCTGTGGCGTTGCCGTCATTGTGGCTCTCAAACTTATAAAAATGAACCTGCAAAAAGTGCGGTTCCTGTAGGACTGAGCAATGTTTCACACATACAGAGAAAATAAATCTTTTGTAGTGATAAAAAACCTGATAAAAAGGCCGAGATTCGTATGACTTTTAGAAATGGGCATATGGATGTCATTTTGTATACAAAGCACCCATTCCTTATTATGTTTACATCCAGAAAATTCTTACTCTCTGTTGGTATTTTTTTTAATGTAATAGAAAAACTTTTGGATTCAGAAATTTTTACAATTTTGAAAATAGCTATAGCTGAATTACGCTCAAAGATTCAAATGTAAGGCTTTATAAAGTGGATGCTATATTCCTAATATATAATATAAAACTAAAACCATTCTGATGCAATAGTGTATAATTCACAAAACTGATAAATCAAGCAGCCAAATCCTTAGGTATTTCCTGCAACTTAAAACAACGGTAGCGTAGGTGGATCTACAAGAAAATAAAGTAATTTGCTTATTTTAGCGCGCTTGGGTTGTATAGTATATGTGAGTGATAACACCTAATAACGCTCCACCTTTTGAAATCACGCCCCTCTAATACGCTACACCTCTCTTCATTTTTCTCTCGAGGTCACGCCTCTTTTTCTATTACTATTTGAGATGGGCTTTCATGGAACTTAATTTTATTTTTGCGATTTCTGTTATGGGTTATGTGAAAATAATTCAAACTTAAAATGGCACAAGTTGCAGTCAAAAATGTAAAAACCGCGTCCAATAATTCGGAAAATCGAGCACATACCATTACTTCGGATTTCGTGTGTGTGTCCCTCTTTTGAGGCTGGCGAGAAGTACATTAGCAAATCGATATTATTTCGTGTTTGTCTATTTCAGAAAATCGATTTTTTTCGTTTTTCACGTTGAGGCAAATTGTAGCGGCGAATCTAAAATTGGCACTATTGGTAGTGTGTGGTGGCAGAAAAGGAAGTTGTTCTGCGTATCGATGCTTAGTGTTGGGTTGTGATGTCGTCTAGTATTTTTTTGAAAAATGCGAGGAAGCTGCCTTATTCAATTGTATATTCAACGACTCTACCAAGGAACTTCCAAATATTCGACACTATTCAAGCTAAAAAATGCCGAGAATGTTCGGGTTTTTACTTTTACTGTTTCTAGAAGAAAAACTACTGCACTTTTTCAGTGAACTTTTATTCGTTCTCAAACACAATGACAACTCCTTAGCAACTACTTTTGTCCATCTTTCAGACACCCGAATACTCGAAGTTACATCGAGTACACTAGATCTAAACTTCGTAATTTCTTATTTTGTAATTATTCTCAACAGAGAATGTTCTTGCAAAAATCAATTTTAAATCGTGACAGCATCTAGTACAATTGTAATGCTTGCCCAACTCTATAACCAAAACTTGACATACAATAAATATGACAAACTTCATTTATTTGTGTTCTGTAAAATGTTTTTATTTTCAAAGTCTTTCAAAAATTATTAATGAAAATGGTTGTATTGGTCACTACAATAAGATAATGTACTAGCACAGATTATAGATATGTGACACCTGCTGTCGGTCCCTTTGATCGTGTCCCCCAACTGCTTACCACATTTCCCTTTTATGTTCATTAGCGACCGGATGATTTTTCCTAGGGGTTGTTACGCATTAGATATTTTTTCGCGAGATCCCGTAGTGAACCGGAGCGGGAACAGTTGTTGTGTATTATCAATCATGGATATGGATGACGAAGCGCTAGTTACCGAAGACATCGTGAAGATAGAAATGGAGGAGGTTGGATTCCAGGCAGTAGAGACAGACAGCAAGCTATTTGAACATTCTAATGCCTCTGGGAATTTGATTTTTAAATGCGATACGAATGAAAACACAAAAAATACAGTCTCGGATAGGTTAGCCATTCAAATATAGTTTCTGGGTGCTTTGTATTTTATACCCTATAGTTATTTTTGCCTGTTTCAGAGTTCCAGTTCCTGAAATTACAGATCAAATAAACATTAAAATTGAGCCTGAAGAAGTGAAGGTTGAAAGCTGTCTTGACAACAGTGAAAAGTACTCTGTTTTGGAAATAATGGAGGAATTCGTAATCAAAGATGAGTGTAATGATGATGACATGTTCTTAGGTACAACTACAGAAACAGTTTCCAATAGGTAACTATTTTTTGTCAGTTATTTCTACTTCTAACTGTGTAAAATTTTGAAAATGACTCAAGTGTCTTCATTGGCCTGTCTGCTAATTGTTGGCCTCACTATAATTTGATGAAATTTTAACACAAGACAACAACTATGGAAGAAAAACCTTTATAGTTTTTATCGTGATCCAGTCGCATAGGAGTTACTGGCAAAAAATAATGCTGTTTAATTTTTAACATTTCAGAGACTGCTGATCATTTTCAAAAAAAAATAATACTAAAAATTGGGTTTTTGTTTTGTTATGCAGGGTGGGTCAGAAAGACTTCCCCGATTTGGAGAGCCAATAAAAACTGGGCTGAGCGAGACTCTCCCGATAATTTTCCATCATGTCACGCGGAATAGCAGCAATTTTCTGGATTATGGTCTCCTCGAGAGAGTCTGGAGTTTGGGGGTGATGTTGGTACACTTTTTCCTTCACGTAGCCCAACAAAAAAGTTACATGGGGTTAAATCTGATTTGTACGGAGGCCACCCGATATCGCCACGCAAAGAAACAACGTGTCTAGAAAACATTTCACGCAGAAATGCCATTAGAACGACGAGTTGTGTGGACTATTGCTGCATCTTGTTAAAACCATTCATGTTCTTGTCCATACTCATCGACAAGAGCAGCTACTCTGGGCTGTAGAAAGTTATCTAGCATCACACAATATTGATCTTTGTTCACTGTAATAGTAACACCATTCTCTTTAAAAAAATATGGACCCCACAAATGGGCCTCGTCACTGACGATCAAACACGTCCATGCGATTAACATTGCGCAGTTTTTGGCACAAAATGGTACGAGTTTCACGGTCTTTTTCATGCAACTGCTGTAGAATGGCAATTTTATAGGATGCAGAATTCTCCGAGTTAACAATGGCAAAGCAGTTCCGTGCTTACATGCAGAGCGCGTCAAAGATTGCTGAATTGACGCTGCCACAACTGCTACATTTGCTGGTCCTGTCGCTGTTCGAGGTCGACCAGGAGATTTGGTTTTTAATGCAGATCCTGTTTTTCGAAAGTTTTACACTCATTTAACAATTGTCTTTCTATCGAGAACTAGTTCAGGTCGCAGGAGCTGGAATTGAATCTGAAAGGCACGCTGAGCGATTATCGGTGTACCTCCGTTTCGAATAAACTCTTCCACGACGAGAGCGCGGTGCGGTCCTGAGCCAGCCACGATTTATACTAAAAATGGTAGGAATAGACGCGTCGAATGATGTATCCCCCACTGCGCTATCCCCCTCATTGGCGTAGCTAGACAGTTTCCAAATCGGGTAGGTCGTTCTGCTCTACCCTGTACATGCTTGTGACTATGTTTTAAATGTAATTATCAAGCTTAAAGAGGAGGTTAGTATTTATTCTATTTTAGAAGCGGTAGTGAATATAATTTATCTGACCTTTACCTAAACCCCCAAGGTCACTATCAAGGGTAAATCCATGATCATCATTGGCCAATATGAGGCAAATCGTAACAACAGTATGTTTTATTTATTCTTTGATAATATTACTGTAAAACTTGTCTGTGTGGGGGATGGGTTCCGAAAGTGGTGGGGGGAGGGTGCTCTTTGGAACTTTTGATCGCCATGTTGAAAACCACCTCTATACAAAGTTTCAACCAATTTAGCTGAAAGCCAGTTTACGTAAGGAAACCGTTTTTGTTTTGATATTAATAGGTTGTTTTCTGTAACTTGTTTCCACAACACTATTTCTGTTAAATATTGCCAATTTCAAGTTTCGACTCTGTAAAACTTAAATATTATTGTATGAAATAATAATTGTTTTGTTACAGTACGTTGAAACAGAAAACTATGGTGAAGCAGCAGTCTGTAGCATGTAAAAAATTGAGCAAAAATTTAGTTTATTGTCATAGTTGTAATTATTCTGCTAGATCTAAGTATATTCTGGTTAGTCATATGAAAGAACATAGAGACCTAAAGAAACATAACAACGTACAAGGTTCTAGCTATAAACATAACACGTGTATACACTGTAATGCAAAGTACAGTTGCAAAATGACTCTAGATAATCACGTCATGAGAAAACATTCTGATCTTGTTGCGTCCGTTTCTAGTAAAACTCATGAATGTTCACATTGCGCGTATAAAACAACCATTAAGAGTAGTTATAGGAAACATATGCTAAAACATTCAAAGACAGCAAGTAAATACAAATCCGACATATGTACTCACTGTAATGCGGAATTCAAAAGCAAACGGACACTGTATGAACATATAATTAGGGAACACCCTGACTTTATTACGTCCTTGCCTTGTAAATTATATCATTGCACACGTTGCAGTTACAAAACAACCATCAAGTATCACTTACCTAGACATATGTTATATAAACATTCAGAGTCAGTAGGTAACTATAAATTCAGCATATGTATTCACTGCAATGCAAAATTTAAAACTAAAAATTTGCTAGATAATCATATACTCAAGCAGCATCCTGACTTTATTGCATCCGTTTCTTCTAGAATTCATGAATGTAAACATTGTGAATATAAAACAACTATAAAGAATTGTTTAGCAAGCCACGCATTGAAACATCCAGAGTCAGTAGATAATTATAAATTCACCATATGTATTCACTGTAAGGCTAAATTCAAATGTATGCCAGCACTGAATGATCATTTAATCAAGAAACACCCTCACTTTATTCCATTATCCGTTTCTAGTAAAATGCATGAATGTACACATTGTGCATATAAAAGTTTATTTAAAAGTAAACTTGATAGACATATGTCAAAACACTCAAAATTGCCGGATAATCATAAATTCATTATATGTATTCACTGTGATGCGAAACTCAAAAGCACACAGACATTGAATGATCATATAGTCAGGAGACATCCTGATTTTATTGCATCCATTTCTGCTAAAATACATGAATGTGCATGTTGTGCATATAAAACAGTGAAAAAATCTGATCTTGCTACCCATATGAAGAAGAAACATTCTAAGTTTATTGCAGCCGTTATTTTTTAACATATGTTAAATCATCTAGAGACAGTAGATAAGTCTAAATCCGGCATATGCATTCACTGTAAGGCAAAATTCAAAGGTAAGACAAGACTGGATAATCATTTAATCAAGAAACATGAATGTTCAAATTGCGCATATGAACCAACATTTAAGAGTCATATAATCAATGAACATCCTGGCTTTATTGCATCGGTTTTTAGTAAAATATGTGAATGTAAACGTTGTGCATATAAAAGTCATGTTGATATGAAGACGAAACATCGCAGGTATAGACGGTATAAATCTGTCACTACAAGGTGTGGTCCAATATAAAAACTAAAATGTGATTTATTGACTTGTTTATTTTTGTATACATTGTTTGAAGAAAAATAGAATATTTTTAATACAGTAGAACTCCAATTTTCCGAATTAATGGGGACCGGGACCCATTCGGATAATCAAATATTCGGATAATCGGATTTTTTTTTTAAAAATTGCCATTGGAGAGAAAAATGCTACGTTTTGATATTGCACTATTTTTTTTATTGAATTAAATGAAAGAAACATGATATTTTCACATGTTTTAAATATAAATACATACATAAAATACATAAAATGTATGTACGTACATACATATGTACAAGTTTAGAAATAAAAATCATTGTTTTTTAAACATCTCCGTCAATGTAAGCTGTTTTGCGTTCTTCATCCGTTTTCGGGCAGCCAGGTCACGCATTCGCTTGACGGTGAGCAGTTGCAAGTGGTCACACTCGGGCTGACGCTCCATCCACTTCAAAGCAGTCTCGAGGCCGGCAAATGCTTCACTAGCTGATGGTCCAGCGTCTACTTCAACATCAGCAGAAAGTTCTTCTCCCACTTCCACTTCAACATCTTCTCTCACACTTTCAACAATTTCATCGTCATTGAGAATTTGAAAACCAGGGTCAGACGTGTCACAAGCCATCCACTCTCCTACATCTTCAGCACTTACTTCTGTACAACCAGGAATTTTTACAATCATTTTTCTTATTTCCTCTAGTGACAACGCATCTTCATCATCTTCATCCTCTCCATTTTCTTGTTTCTCATTTTCTTCAGATTCTTTTTTTTTGTTCTTCTCAGACGGTAGGCCTTTCAGTTTATTCCACGCACGTCTTAGCGTCACTGCCGTAACCAAACTCCAAGCTTCCGCTACCATGTAACAGCAGTCCTTTAAATTTATTTTGCTATGATTTGCCAAAACCAATTCTTCATCTTCAGCACCTTCGATCAGCAGTTTTCTCAGCAGTTGCCTTCTGTAATGGCGCTTCATTGTTTCAATAACAGACTGGTCCATGGGTTGCAGCAAACTTGTAACATTGGGAGGCAAAAACGTCGTTTTAAACTGCCCTTTCTCTCTTTCCAACAGTTCTGCTGTAGGATGAGTGGGTGCGTTATCAACAATTAAAAGCACCTTACTGCCTTCTTTTCCCACCGATTTTTGGTGCTTTTTCACTTCAGGAATAAACACTTCATCATACCATTCGGTAAACAAAGCTGCAGTCATCCAGGCCTTGGGTTGACTTTTGTAGAAGAGTGGAAGTTTTTTTACGTTTTTAAATGCTCTTGGATTTTTTGATTGTCCTATCAAAAGAAGTGGTAGTTTATGATTTCCAGTGGAGTTGGCACAGTTAAGCACTGTAACACGTTCTTTACTGACCTTATGTCCAGGGGCACTAGATTCCCTTTTAGAAGCCAAAGTGGTTTTTGGTAATGCTTTCCAAACAAGGCCAGTTTCATCGGCATTATAAACAAACTCCGGATCATAGGATTCTGCTGCAGTTTTAAATTTTTCAATAAAATTTTCAGCAGCTGCAGAGTCTGCTGAAAGCTTCTCACCAGCCAAATCTAACTCGCGTACACCATGCCTGAATTTAAAGTTCCTTAGCCAGCCGTTACTAGCCTTAAAAGATGAATAACCAAGCTTTTCTGCTAAGATTTTGGCTTTTTCACAAAGGATTGGACCTGAAATCGGATTTCCCATAGAACGTTGCTGCAAAAACCATTTAAACACGGCATCTTCCAAATTTTTGTTGGTTGCTGTCTTCATTGTTTTCCTGGAGGAACTTCCATCTTCATTTTCAAGCACCGAAACAAAGTTTAAAAGTGTTGACTTACTGTTTTTAATGTCACAAATTGTTGCTTGTCCAACACCATAAATCTCAGACAACTTCTTACCCGTTACACCTTTATCGAGTTGCTCTATAATTTTCAGTTTGTCCGCTAACGATAGCACAACACGTTTTCTTTTCGAAGCCATGGTGAAAAACAATACAGTACAATAGTATTGTAAGCCGTAGCGAAAGAGTAGCGTCCTCGAGCAAGGTCAATAGCACACTGACTATATTGGTGCGCCGTGACTGCAATGTGCCGGAACTGGAGTGGGGACTCATACCACGTGTTGTTGTGCCTACACTGACGCCGCGGACTTTGGACAAATTTAAAGTGATTCGGATAATCGGCGATTCAGATAGTCGGAGTTCGGATAATTGGAGTTCTACTGTAATTGTTAAACTTTATTACCATAGTTCCCTAAAATGTGGTACTTGGTTTGATAGTTCAACATCAAAATTATTTTTCGAAGTTTGTTAAAGTTATCGTTTTTCTATTTTTAGGGGATGAAAAATCACTACAAATCTATGGAAATTGACATTATTTTCTCAATTCAAAGTGTAAACAAATAAATTGAGCACTTACCAAACCCTTAGCAAGCCTTGTCGTGCCTCCAAATGTATCCAATAGGTAACATAACACCACAGAATCACACTACACGATGAAACAATCTAACATCACATTCGAAACAACCGCGGATGTTTCTTTGTTTGTACCCGACGCGCGCGACGTGTTACCTCGGCGAGATCCAAAGATCGACTGACCAGCAGCTGTCCGTTGTGCGCCGGCCGTACCGAAACTCTCTCGATCACGTCACAGTCACATGTCCGTTTATCTCTGCCAATCGCATCTTAGGCGGAAAGTGGGGTGCGCGGTGGACCGCCATCAACTTGAAGCTACTCCATTTGAAAGCGATAGGTGTAGCTTCGCCCACCTTGCACCCCACTTTCCGCCTAAGATGCGATTGGCAGAGAGAAACGGGCATCTGACTGTGACGTAATCGAGAGCGTTCCTGTACGGACGGCCGGCGCACAGCGCCCTGCTGCTGTTCAGTCGATCTTCGGATCTCGCCGCGGCAACACGTTGCGCGCGTCGTGCACAAACAAAGGAACATCCGCGGTTTTGAATGTGATGTTAGATCGTTTCATCGTGTAGTGTGCCGATTTGCAGTGATTCTGTGGTGTTATGTTACCTATTGGATACGTTTGGAGACACGACAAGGCTTGCTTGGGGTTTGGTAAGTTCTGAATTCATTTGTTTACACTTTGAATTGAAAGAATAATGTCAATTTCCATAGATTAGTAGTGATTTTACATCCCCTAAAAATAGAAAAACGAAAACTTTAACAAACTATAAAATAATTTTGATGTTGAACTATCAAACCAAGTACCACATTTTAGAGGACTATGGCAATACAGTGTAACAAGTATTAATTGTATTTTATTTTTCCTCAAACAATGTATACAAAAATAAACAAGTCAATAAATCACATTCCAGTTTTTATATTCAACCATAACTTGTAGATACTTGACGCAGTGACAGATTCATACCGTGTATACCTACGATGTTTCGTCTTCATATGTGCAACAAAATTAGTTTTGTCGTATTTTACTAGAAACGGATGGATTATATTTTTTTTTTTTTGAAATAATTTATTTAAACACAATAATACAAAATGTATAACCAGTTTTAACAATAATTCCCCAATCAGTGCTTGCCAACACTGGCCCCGAGAATAACAAAACAATAATCAATATGTATGAAGTATAGGTACACTGCAATGTTGCTCATAATTTCAACAAATAAATTCATTAACATTTTTAAAATCATTCAACTCTCTAACAAAACCTCTATAGTTATTTGAATCTTTTATACAATGAGGTAAATTATTAAATTTCTTAAATGCGTCTGTGATTGGATTTTTAAACCTATATTAGTTCTTGTGGAAATTTGATAAACATTATTTAGTGATCTTGTCTGGTGATCATGCACGTTATGGTAGAACCTAATATTTATGTTACTTTTTAGTAGATTATTTATAATTTTATAAACAAGTTTACATTGTTCCACCTCCAATAAGACTCTAATTTGTTTAAATTTGAATAAAGTGTATTAGAACTTGTAAGCCAATCAAAATTAAACAATATTTTCAGAATTTTATTTTGTAAAACTTGAGCTTTATTAAAATTAACTTAACGACACATACCCCATACTGGCAAGAGGTATCTAAAATGTGTGATTCCATTTAAGTCAAGGGACCAATTTAAACTTTCATCTATTAGTAATCCCAAATATTTAATACTTGACACTTTTTCTAGCGCTATATTATTTATGTTAATATTTAGATCTTTGTTTAAATATAATGTATTTTGTTCTTTCAATGTTAATTTTTAATCTATTCGAAAACAGCCATTTAAGATAACTATTCAGGTCATCATTAATAAGATTCGTTAAAGCAATTTCGTCTGTTCCAGTATATACCAGTACAGTGTCATCTGCAAACGTAAAATATCTTCCCGATATCATTGCGAAAGATTTTTTGGTGAGTACACGCGTTTTAATGGGATAAATCCGCGATTCCGCTTACGTCTTACATTAGACTGAAGGAGATTTGTTCCGGAGAAAAGGAATGAAATAGTTTACTAATAGATATGTTTTATTAATTTAACATTTCAATACAGCAATATACAGCGTGTCCCAGAAGCCGACGTCGAGCTGGAAACGGGCCAAGTAATAGTTAAAAGAAACATATAAAAAAATGTAAGCCCTGTACTTTTCAAATTATGTTCCCATACATACAATTGGAAATTACTGAAACGAGAAAAATCTATTAAAAAATAAATGTTCGCCGGTGCCGCTGACTTTTATCAGAGCCAATGTACAATACTGTAGGCACTCAAGGGCACAAATTAGTAAAACGTGATTTAGATGGTAAAAAACAAGTATCCAGAAAAAGGCGCAAGTCTTGTAGCAAGAAGGAAATCCGTACCCAAACTATGTACGAATATAGAATATGCCCTGATGTTCCAGGATTCTGCTTGGGCATTATTCACAAATAATTTTTTGCACTAAAAATAGTCTGTATTGTTTAATTTTTTATTAGATTTTATCACATTAGATGTATTATTTACCGGAAAAGTTTTTGTTATACTTTTATATTCTCTACTGTTTTGAGTTACAAAAATTATTTTTAATATTTTATTTTTGTTAACGGTCGATAATAAATGTTTTTTTTTGCTTTTAGTTTATTTCTATTATAAAAAACAAATAATTATCCTCCGACTCTCATAAGCGCCAGCTGGCACACAGGAAACCGATTTGTAAGTCAGTGCCGTCGGCTCTTAGAAGAGCCACAAAAAATCTTCTAATTAAAAAAACATTTTACGAAAATACTTCAATAACTGATTTTAGGAAGTTGTACTACCAAAATAACAAATTAACCATTATGCAACTAACTGGCTCCTGGGTAAAACCAACCGAAAAAAGGTGGGCAGTCAACGTGTTAAGGGAAACATGTACAGGACAACTAACAGCGTCTAAAAACTTATACATGGGGCCTATTTTTAATACAATAAAAAACAAATGGAAATATTCTCTAGATAACATTCTTACATTTTGATCTTACAGGGTGTTCGTTGTTAAAACATATGAAAACAAGTTCCGCTAACCACGGGTCCGGAAATGCAGAGTTTTCAATATACAGGGTGATAAATTACAAGAAATCACCGTATAAAATATCTCCGTCTAAGTTCCGAACACCCTGTATAGACCAGCCAAAATATTCTGATTCGGATTTTTTGTACGAGTATAATCTTATTCACTGTCGAATTTGCATGTTGTCAGGCCCAAATTTACGTCACATTTTTTTTTTAATTCCAAAAATTTCAGAACTTGATGTTTTTCGTCATATAGCGGTACAATATTTGAAACCATGCGAAATATGACTCGATCGCGAAACAACATGAAAAAACAAAAATTACAATGTTCCTAAATTTTCTTCAAACATCCACTGACAAAATACTGAACCATTTGAAGAAGTATCGTTACTGTATTTTTTTTAATTATTAACCAATGCGACACCACCTCCAGACATGTTTTGGGATTTTGGGTGTTTCAAGAATATTCATTTTTGGGGTAGAAAATAGCATATTTCGCACGTTTTTAAAATCTGTATCGCTATGTCTGGAAAACTATCAACTTTAGAGAAAACATGCGAAATATGACAATTTCGATCGCGAAACAACATGAAAAAACAAAAATTTCAATGTTCCTAAATTTTATTCAAACTCAAACTTACAAATTAAAAACAACCTTCAGTACAATTTAAATAAAAAAACAGTTTCAAAAATACATGCTCTTGCTACCCTGAATAACCGAGATTGCAACAGAAATCTAAGCAAAGACACAAGCATCAGATCTAGAACAAGCATATGATAAAATTATGAAAATTCTGTATACTTTCGTAAAGGGTAAATGTCTGAATCTTGTCGTCCCAAATCCTAAATTACGTGTCTGAAAAAACAAATCTAAAATTCATAACAATAGTACAGAAGCATACTAAAAACACTCAGAAGTATAAATATAGAGTACATAAAATATGAATATCTGAAATATGATAATATAGGAAGATTTTGAGTTAGGTCAAACTATGTTGTTTAAACAATAAACATTTTGCGTAAAGGTTAAGCAGAGAAACAAGAGTACTACAATTTACTACAAAAGAATAGACACCTAAGCTATAAGCTTGTGTGTGTCAAATATTCTTCAAACATCCACTGACAAAATACTGAACTATTTCAGGAAGTATTGTTATTGTAATTTTTTTAATTATTAACCAATGCGAGAGAGATGCAATAACAATACCTCCAGACATGTTTTTGGATTTTGGGAAGTATTTCAAGCATATTTAGTAACATTTTTATTTATTTTTTTTTCATTTTCGGGGTAGAAAATAGCATATTTCGCACTTTTTCAAAAACCGTATCGCTATGTCTGGATAACTATCAACTTTAGAGAAAAGTTCTGTACTTTTTTGTTCAAGAGCTCCCAAAAAACGTAAAAACAATTTTCGGAATCTCTTTAAAAAAAATTTGTTTTGCATGCAGATTCGTTAAAAGAAGCCCTTTATGTAACAAATCCGAATCAGAATATTTTTCCCATATGATGCGAAGATATTGCCTGAACTAAAATGCATTTTTTAACTAGTAAACATTAATTTTTTGGTCGTGACTTTATAATTCCTACGAAGCTAAGAAAAACTGCTCAACTCTTGTTCAAAAAACTATCAAATTGCTTTTGTTTAAAAAAAAAACAAAGTTTCCATTATTATTTTGAGGAGATATGTCAGATAAATTGGTTAGCGAACAACTATTTGCATGCATGAGAATGATACGAGGGCCATTTTTAAAGTAAAAATCGACTACGCTTCATGTCTCAGTCGGTGCTGCTTTTGAGATTATGATTATTATTATTATTATTATTATTATTATGATTATTGAGATGAGCAGAGTACACAGTACTATAAGCTCATGCAGTAAATATAGTGTACGGACACGTAACACAAATACATCAAATAGAAAAAAATAAAAAAAGACAGTTCATAGCTATAAAGTTTGTACACTCCTCCAGCTATCATACTGCACTTTGAAGCTATTAACTGAAGTAGCACCAACCACACTTTCAGGTAAACTATTCCAGGTGTTGAGTATGCGGTTGGGAAGAAACCACTGTCGGACTGCTATGATATTATATATATATATATACTGATTATGCTGTTTTGTCTGTCACTACGTCACAGTAAAGGCGGAGACCAAAACCTCAGATTCAATCATTTTAGTTTCCCAAATTACGAGGCGAAAATGTTCATATTTTGGTTTGTGATACAATCTACTCATAATACCTCACCTTACCCAAAATATATGTATTTAAAAGGCATGTTATTATTGATAAAGCTGCTCCGACTCCATGACAAAACGGTTCATACTTAAAAAATGACCCCCGCAAACATTTTGTCTTTGATTATGAGGTTTAGCGACTAATTAGTCCCCTGTAGTTTTATTGAAAAAAAATCAATTTGATTTATTCATTATATAATTTGCAGACTGGGCGGCTGGATCCCATCAATGGCAAGCAAGTTTACAGACTTTTCAGGTCTTTAAAATTTTGCAGTAGGTACTTTCAAAGTAGTCGAGCAAAAATCACAGCTCATGTTTTTGATTTTCTACGATAAATTCTCGGTCCATATCCTGTTTTTTATTGCTTTTTTAAAATCAACAAAGAAGGTTATTCCTGTTTTCGGAAGTACCCCTACACATTTTCTGTGCATTCACTGGTCAGTGGATCCTTTTTCATTCAAGGTCGGATATATCCGCGCCAAGCGATCGTATCGAAATTAAAAAAAAAAAGGATATTGAAGCTGAAAAAAAACGGGTGATCGGATCGGAAAAATGTGCCTCGAGTCCGTGCGCTTTTTTGCGAGTTTTGCAAAAAATTTCCCTTGCGATATCTCTTAGAATTGCACGAGAACCGTTGCTCCTGAAAATTTTCGGCTGAAACATCTAAAAACTGGAATCTTGAAGCTTCAAAATGCTTTTTTTTAGAAACTGGATACGACCATCTTCACCGACAGACAGCGCCGAAAAATTTGGATTTTTTCTTGCTCCCTTAACTTTTTCGAGCAGATTAGAGGTTTGGGTCAAGTGGAAGATCGAATGTGCATCACTTTAGCTTCGCCAAAGAACTTTTTTTTCAATTGTAAGTTTTATTTGTTCTGTTGTTCGACAAATAAAGATAATTCTTGTTAATATTACACAAAAACGTTCGGACATTATCTAAGAGTCTGTTTATTTTTGTAAGGTTGAAAATTAATTGTTCTTTTATAAACAATGAAATATATTATTTAGACATCATATTCGACGTTTCGATTTAAGAAGCATCTCTGTGAATAAACTGCAACTTGATTATTAGGTTTTTATATCATGGTATAAATAATGCATTGGAACTTTTAAAAATAAATCTCGAAAACTCTTAGCTTTAGATACTCCGAACAAGTGAACCTTTTTTTTGTGGCAACACGAGAAAATAAGATTTTTCGGCCAGTTGTATACAAAAAAGTTATGTTATTTACCGAAATAGCGCTTTAGAAGTTTGACCATAAAATTTAATGGATTATTGTTTCTCATACGGAGTTTTATGCCAAAATCTGAAATACTTTTCAAGCAACAAGGAAAAATAGAAAATGAAATTGTAACTTTGACGCAAACTATCAACTTTTGGACTGAGGTGAATCCACATATTTTGGTCTGTAGTATCTCCAGTTTCGAGATTTCCGAACCTTTCGCAATATAAAACAATAAACAAACTTTAGTTTAAAATTAGATAATGTCCGAACTATTGCTTGTACAGACAATAATTGTTATTATGAAGTTGTTGAATTCCTGATATCTGAATGCTAAGAGTCTGATAAAAAAACGTTATTTTGGGCGCCCAGTCTACGTGAGGATCCCACCCAATTCTGCATCGTTTTTGCATCACAGCGCTTTTCTGTGGTATTCAGGCGGCGCGTTGCTATAATCTTGCAGACTGAACAACTGCGCGCTATTTTTGATCAAGTACTTCAGGAAATCCTGGATATTTTGCAGCAGCAGCTGTATGCTTCTCTCGTCCAACGGCGTGTAAGCTAACATGGCGCCGAGCTTTACGAACAGCCTCAACAGATGGATGGCTCCGTATATCTCGGACATCGGTTTTTCCGGGTAGTTATGGAGTATCTCCGCATATTGCGGTCGCTCGAATTTGTAAAGTAACTGGGTGCCGAGCATTACGTTGAAGTATTCTTTTATACCTGAAGGATAAAGGGAGCGTTTTTGAATGATCTAGTTTCATCGTCTACAGGGTGGGCTATCGAAAAGGTCGCACCACCATTTGTGACTCTCCTGGTATGTTTTGGGGAAAACGTCAATTTTGATTTCTAGATGGACGTCTTCTCGTCTTTACCCGCACAATACAGGGTGTCCGCAAAGTTGGGGTTTTCCTTTACACGACGTGTAGATCTTGAAAACATAAGCAATTTTTCTTAGTACCATATACACCAATGTCTTAAGGGAACCGAGATAAAGGGCTCTGCAACATCAAAAATATCTGAATACCGTCCTGTAGCCGCGACATCACCGACTGGTACAAGGTCACTGGCTCAACCCGACGGCAGAGCTGGGTCGGGGTCAGTGTGTCAGGTCAGTATGCAACCTTCAACCGACGGTTACGGTCACGCGTGTAGAGGTAATCGCGTAGACGAGAATCCCTCAACAAGCACTAGAGAAGTGCAAGTATCAAAAACTAAAGTGTGGCAAACGCTGCGTGAAGAGGGGCTGTATCCGTTTCACGTCCAACGTGTACAAGCCCTTCAACCTGACGATTTTCCAGCAAGAGTGCGGTTTTGTGAGTGGTTGTTGCATCAACATGACAATAATCCGGACTTTTTGAAGTGCATATTGGTGACAGACGAATCTACGTTCACGCGTAATGGGGTGAATAACTTTCGCAACACTCATGTTTGGTCAGTAGAAAATCCGCACGCTGTCCGTCGGGCACATTTTCAACAAACATTTTCGGTGAATGTTTGGGCTGGCATGGTGAACGGTATGCTCATTGGACCACCATTTATTCTACCAAATCGATTGGACGGGATGCAATACCTAGACTTTTTACGCAACATTTTGGCTTCCTTGTTAAAAGATGTGCCAGTGTAAGACAATCAATGTGGTTTCTGCGTCTGCTCGGTAGCGCATCAGCTGATTTCATTTTCTGTTGGAGCGGTATGATTTCGGGCAGAGACGTACTTAGCCCTTCTCGTCAACTGGAGAGTGAGTACTTTTTCCTTTATTTTTTTGTACTTGGTCGCCCTCGTTTCACTACACATTACCTTTGTTATTTCAAGAGTAGTTGTTTCTGAAAAGGAAAACCCCAACTTTGCGGACACCCTGAATAGACAAATATGAATATTTACCTAAATACATTTAGAAAACGAATTCATACTTCATTGCTCCATAAACAAATGCGTTATTAGTAGAAAAGAAAAAAAAAGAAAAACCAAATTCCTTGTTTTTACATTATCTGCAATGAATATATGCACTTTTTTATGAGGGGAAAAAATATGTAGATAGATTAAACTAAGATCATTGAGTTATACAAAGATGGTCAACATCAAGTCGACATTGGCAAAAATTTGAAGCTGAAGCTTAAAGCAGTTTGGGCAATATTGAACAAATATAAACAAAATGGTATCTTGGAAGCCTCTAAGAGGTTGGCCTAGAAAACTAAATGCTAGATATATAATCTACCAATCAGTCTGAAATTTGTTGTGCCGGCGTTTGATAGATGGCAGCACATGATGATAAGACCAATTTTCCCCAGGAACGCCCTGTCGTTCAACACGGGTTCTTATTTAGCCTCATATAGTTGACTTTACTTTTAAAATTAGACATAAGTCTAATTTAAATTAAAGTAAAAATTACTTTGCTATAAAGAGGTAGATCAATGTGGTAATAAGTGCTGAAAGTGGGGTCCATGCAATGATAAAGATTTTGTTAGAATCTATCCCTCACAGTTTCAAGCATGTCTGACAAAGATCTTGAATGGAATCTGGCTTTGTACTAAAAACTTTACTTTTCAAATGCCCCCAAAGAAAGTAATCTAAAGGACTTAGTCCGGAGATTTTGGCGGCTTGTTAACAAATAAACGTACAGCTCTGAAATTGTGTGTGGATATTCCTCTTTTATGGTAGAATGAAACGAGTGATTACTTTTGTTCCTATCACTTTTCCTTTTCGTAACATCTTTGCTTTTCTTGAAAATTCAACTTGTTGCGAGACGAGGCTTCAAGAAAATCAAAGATTTTTCGAAAAGGGAAAGTTATAAGAGCAAAAGTAATCAAACGTTTCATTCTCCCATAAAAGAGGAATATTCACAAACAATTTCAGAGCTGTACTTTTATTTGTTAACAAGTTCCGGTTGAAGAAAAAATGCACAACAAAATGCATTTTTGGCTATTTCTACCCTTTCTTGAATTGAACAAGTCATTGTTCAATATGAATCACAACGAGGTAGGTAACTTAACAATTTGAAATGAAAGTCGAAGTTTTTCTATGGCATACGATGGCACTGACTAATGCTAAACTTGCTGGTATCCGTGATTATTCGAGTCGAATTTTATTATAAACTCAAATAGCTTGACAACGATTAGAGATAGGTATAAGCTTATACAAAATTTACTTCATTTAAAAACGTAACGCAACATCTGATTTCGTGATCAAATCAAAATTGACGTATCAGAGCGTTTTCCCAAAAGAGAGTCACAAATCGGGGTCCGACCTTTTCGTTGGGCCTCCTTTGTATATCAATGTTTTCACAATTTCTCTTAAATGTCATCAAATAACGTCTATTATGAAAACTCAACGAAAGCATTAACAAGTATTTACCTTTGACAATTTCAATAGTAGCAGATTCCTTATTAGAATTATTTGATTTGATGGACTTTTTGTAGGTCAAATAATTGTCCAGGATTTGCTCCACACTCACTTTGGCTGGAAGATTTAGTAGCTTTCTTTGTCTTGATATGATGTCCCAGTCATCAACTAACCATGGTTTCAGTTCGTCAGGCATCTTGACCTTAATTTCAACCTAAAATGGCATAATTATTGGTCGGATATTCTGCAGAAACAGCAACCCAAATGGCGGTGGAAGACTGGAGAAAACTGCGGATGAGAACGGTGTTTTTAATTTTCAAAAGGGGCATTCGAAAAAAGAGAAAAGTGTCAGTTGAATTACATAACTATGATTTTGATGGATCAGTATAGTCAAAAAACTTAAATTGGGAATATGTCAAATGTTCTATCAAAAAGATTACAAAATATAACTCTATTTTCTAAAACTCTTCAACTATTTACCGGCACTTGTGAAAAAGATTGTAAAACTAAATGCATTTAAAAAAATATCTAAAATATTAAATCTAGAGCCATATACAACTCATGAATTTTTCAAGACAGATTTGAGTAATATGTTATAGAGCAAGATTTTATTGTTACTTTTGTTTGGTATCACAAACAGCAGTAAAATAAAAAGGAATTCTAAGTGATTATAAAAAACAACAAATAAAAACAGTAGTAAAACAAAAAAAAAACAATTCCATGTTGAATAAAGAGCAATTCTAAGTGACAACACAAAACAAAAAGTAAAAACAGTAGTAAAACGAAGAACAATTTCATTCTATTCAAATTGCCTTTTATTTTACTGTTTATTTTTTTATAATTAAATGGCATTGCTTTTTATTTTACAGCTGTTTGTTTTTTTTTTGTTTTATACTTAGTAAGAACAACTTTTAATTTTACTACTGTTGTTTGTTTTTGTGTTTCATTAATATAAATGTATATAAATTTTCCACTTTTCATATTTTTCCCTAAATACGGAGCTCAATCCGGCAACGCTGCAGGTAAGTGCCTCTCATATATGACATATCCACAGACGTCAGCGTCATATGGTAGCTGCTAAAAAATACAGTGGTTTGGTAAAAAAATTTAATGAAAAGCATGCTTCATCGACACTTTCTATGATGTAAAATGATTTATCAGACTACCTTCTATAAGTTTCAAGTGAAAGATTACTGTTATTGTTATGTGGAAGAACAAACCTTGCTCAAAAATTGCTCCTCAGCTTCTACTGACGGATCCAAACGTCCTCTTTTCTTTCTAGGAACATCAGAACTCGAGTCTTGCCCACTAGATGGAGTGGCAATTTCCTTCCTCTTAGTACCCTTAGATATCTCTGTAACTGGGGTACTAGCTCTTGAATCACTCTCCTTTGCAGAATCTCCTTTTGTTGCTACTTTTTTGGTGACCTTCTTTGATTTGCTAGGCTGAGTAGAGTGTGCTTTTTGGACTTCTTTTTGTCTTGCAACGTTCGCCTCATTATATTTCAGGACTCTGCTCTCTGGTACCCATTCATCCCAACTGTAGAAAGAGCACACATTTATTTAATTTCTGTTTATTATACAACATTTCAGCCACCATGGTCCTTTTTATATACAATGACGATTGTTGTCACCTTTTTTGTCATTCAGTATGTTTGTAAACAAAATACCTAGATAAATATTTATTGATATCATCCAGGAGCTTTTTAGAACGCTTATGAGCTCTGTCAGCATAACCCTTATCATGAAATTATTCAATCTGATAAGACGTAACAGTGGACATCTAGTAGGAATTTTGACCCATATTAAAAAAGTACTTACTTTTTGTTCCACCCGGCGTAGTGTATAAAGTATTTAACTTGTTTTTCTTTAGTTATTGTAGACTTTAAGCATTTTGCTTCGTAAATTAGGGGTCCGTGGAAGCAAAGGACTTTCTCGCCTGAAACCGAAAACCTTAGCTTTGCAAACTGATAAAAATGTAAACGTACCATCTGAGAACTTCAATTTTGCTGGAGGCTCTTCCGCATTGCTCTTATTTGTATTTTTGGCGGCGGTTTTTACGTTTTTCGTAGCGACTTGCGCCATTTTGGGGTTAAAATGTATGTAATTTATATGTTTTCACATAACCCGTAAGAAAATAACAACAAACAATTCGGGTTCATGGAACACGAATTTCTGAGGATGTGTCGAATAGAAGAGCGATTTACGGTAGGAAAATAGGCGCGGCCTAGAGGAAAAAAGGATGGTGTCAGAGGTGTGGCCAATAAAGAGGGGCGTGGCCTCAGAAGGGGGATTGATGTTAGGTGTTTACACTCAGATTAAATTTCAAACGAACAAGATACACAAAGTTTTTGATAATTTATCAATACACAATGAAATGGCTGTTGTTTTATATTTTATTAGAGGCAATTAGAATACAATTTATAAGGAGTTTCATTTGAACCGTTCCATAGTTGTTTTATATTCACAATGTTTACATTCATGAATTTTAGCAGAAACAGAGGCAATAAAGTCAGGATGTTCTTTGACTATATGATTATCTAGCATATATTTATATTTAAATTTTGCAGTGCAGTGAACACATATGAAGAATTTATAGTTACCTACTGACTCTGAATGTTTGAAAAACATATGTTTAGCTAAACCAGAATTAAACGTTGTTTTGTAAGTGCAACGTGTGCAATGATATAATTTACAAGACAAGGAAGAAATAAAGTCAGGGTGTTCCCTAATTATATGTTCATACAGTGTCCACTTGCTTTTGAATTTCGCATTACAGTTGTAACGGTTTCACCGTCCGATCGTATTTATTAAATCACTTCTCGATTATCATTTCATTAATCCCATCTCTAGCTTTTTTGCTTGGAAAATTTTCCGCTTGGAGCGCTTGATGCGGAGTTCCTGATCTGCGATCTTCCTCGCGCTTCCTTTTCACCTGAGCCGCCGATCGAACAACGGCTAGAAATTTCTTCTCAGTAGCACAAGGTTATATAGCACCATGTGCTAGATTTCTAGAATGTGTGTCCGTATAGGACAAAAATGATTGGGGCCACCCCCTTTCTCTTTCCCTTTCACTTTGCCTAGCCTTGGCCAATATTTTCACCCATGCATGTGCCTTGGCAGCGCCATCGCCTTTAACTTCGCCTACAACTGGTTGTGAAGCCACTATATGGAGGTCACCCCTCATAACTGGGACCTCCCCTTCACGCCCCTGGCCATCCTGGCTTCAGTCGAGTCAAAATGGACCAGCAAAAGATAAGTCGATAGCGTTAAAAACTTATTTTGTTATTTTTGTAAAATTCTAATGTAATGAAAATGCCTTTTTTTTTTGTTAAATAAAATCTGTTAAATTTTTGTGTTCTGTTTGTTCTTCTATCCTCTAGCCATGCCATGGTCGACACACAGCTACACGCCTGTAGATGTCTTCATGCCACCGACTGAGCTACCGGAAGCTAATGTTAACCCCCTTTCTGTGATTGTGCAGAAAAGTTGGAATCTTCATTGCATTCCATCTTTTCTGGACTTTTTGCGGAAAGGAAGCGTTACATAAATTGGCGCCCAACGTGGGGCTTCGATAGGTGTTTGGCTTTGTCGACAAGTGGTTTGCTAGTGGAAGATTGGCAGACAGAACATAGTTTTCAAAATTCTTTACAATCTTTGGCAGCATTTCTATTTTTAATTGCTTTTGGTACTCAAATTTCTAATTCCTTAATCATCCTTACTTTTTGCTTAATGTTTAAAATTTTTATCAAAAGATTAAAATTTTTCCACCTGTTTATTTCATAGGCATACTATGCTCTATTAACTTTTAAATTGTCTTGTTTAGTAGTCAGCGAGATCATTGCCAGAATTTTTTTTTTTTATCACATACTACTATAGTTTTTATTTACTGCTGGGGACAGTTATAACTTTTTTCTCATTGTACTTTTGAGATTGATGATATTTTGATATTTTTTTTTGTTGTTGAATATTGATAGTCTGGGGACTTTAGGTTTCCCAGCATTTTTGTCGAATATCATCAAACTTTTGATTGAGGTTGTGACTATTGTTGTTGATAGTTTACATATTCTTATATGCTTTTCATTTTTGATCACTAACCTCTTAGTTTTTGAAAGTATTTCTTCATGTGCAGTTTTTTTGATTTCTTGAGACTTTTCATGTATGCATATATAGCCTAATTGTTGGATCTCTGGTGTACTGATATAGCTCTCATGATGTTTGGTACGTAGGAAATTTACTTTCAAAATTATTTTTGCCTTCCCCAAATGTATTTACTTTTTGAATTTTTGACTGTACTTGAACTTTTGATCATTTGTTTTCATTCTGATGGCAATAATCTACTGACTAGAGTTATCTGGAGTAAATCATTTTGCGATTTATCCATTTTTCTGAATTATATGAAATTGATATTCATAATTTTTCGTATACTTTGGCGGTTTACCTTTTTTTCAAGTATTGACACTTGGACATAGTACCTTGATACTTACCTTTCTTTTGTTTCAAGAAACAAATGATGTTTTTCTTGACTATATTTTTGCTACTTTTCAATGAGGGGGTGACTCCTAAATCATTTTTACCTATACAAAGACACACATACTCATTTATGATAATTAAACTTCAACTTGTTGTTGAAATAGTATACGTTCCTCAGTAACTATTGTAGTAATTTTGTCTCTTGTTTGGAGCAAGAGTTTTCATAATTTTAATGTTTTATAGTTTTATCTGGCATATTCTTTGGGGGAAATTAGAACATTAGTGTCTGATTTTCCATTGGATTAACAGGACTTGAACGTCTCTGTACTCTTTTCGGCTGCTCCTGTTTTTGTATTGAAACTTTTTGTTTGTATTGTTAGTTTTTTATAGTGTTTTAGATCCTTGTCATTTCTTGACGTATTCAGGTTTTTAACTTTAATTTTTTTCTTTCAAGTGTTTCTTTGAGGTTTATTTCTCAATCATGGTTCAGTCTAGACTAAGCCCAAATGACTTATTAAGTCATGAACTCCACTACGAGATTCATATCAGAGGTTTGGAAGTCCCTAATACCGTGGAGGATAAACGTAAAGTTTTACGTGGCTTATTAGCACAGGAATTTCAAGGGCGTAGTTTCTCAGAAACTTCTGTGACTATTCCTTTTGATGAGGATGAGACTGAGATAAGACTCTCATTCAATAAACTCACTGAGATGATCTCTAGATTTACTGGTGCATTTGATTCTGTTGAACATCGCAGAATTTGTGTGCGCTTATTGCATCTATCTGGTAGGATAGATCGAATGTCTCCTACTTGTGATGAGGAGATAAGTACAAAATCTAGATTAAAGACACAACTTGTTGTGTGTGAATCGGATCTTTTAGAGAAGCTTGAGATGCCATCTGCTCAATCATCTCCTCCATCAGTTCCATCTCGTCCTATTCCATTAGCATCAAATCCGCCTGTGACTGTTGCTAATCCTCAAGTATTTCCTCCAGTACATACACAGCCACTCTCTCCTATAAATTTTGCTCCACATAAAAAGATACCAGTTTTCAAATGGGGAATCAAAAAATTTTCTGGAAATAGCTCAGTTATTGAATTTCTAGAAATTGTCGAATCTCTAATGTCTTCCCGTGGTTGCAATGAGATGGATCTCTTTGCATCTGCAGGTGATCTCTTTGAAGATGTAGCCTGGACATGGTGGCATAATGGCCATCTAAGAAATAGCTTTCATGATTGGCAGGACTTGATTAAACAACTCAAGGATGCTTTCCTACGTGACAATTATGATATGAACCTAATTGATGAGATTCGTAGACGCAAACAAGGTCAGCACGAACATGTTACGATCTTCATTTCGTTCATGGAATCACAATTCAATAGATTAACCTACAATACATTTACAGAAAAGGACATGGTCAATATTGTCCGTAGAAATTTATTGCCTGACTTCATAAAGTCACTTGCTCTTCATGAAATTTCCACTTTTCCTGAACTAACATCACTTTGTAGGAAATTAGAGGATTCCTTCTTGACTTGTCAACCCCACAATAGACTTTCCACTTCCAGCTTGGTTACTTCTGATAGTACTCCATCGTCTCACAGAAAAGCTCCTGTATGTTGGAATTGCGAGAAGCTAGGACATTCTGTTCGAGACTGTAGAGCTCCTAAGGCTGTTTATTGCTATACCTGTGGTATGAAAAATGTCACACGCTCTAATTGTCCTTCCTGTTCAAAAAACGTGAGGCAAGAAGTTTCCAATCCGACTCCCGGAACTTCTTACGCCCAGACTCGAGGAGTCATAGACGTAAAGGGCAAAGCAACTCCAGGTCTCATTCTGAAGTCCAACAAATAGCCAAGTTAAGACAACCTTCAGCAATTAATCCCGATTTTGACATTAATCATTCACAACTTGCAGGTATGCCATCAAATGATCATTCAGAACCATTTATTCAAAAACCAAATGACAATCGTCCACATCTTTCAATATCCATTGGTGATGAAAACATTTTAGCTTTGCTTGATACTGGAAGCAATGCCAACATTCTAGGTTCATCTGGCTTATACTTATTACGTAAATTAAATCTCAACATCGATTACAGTAGTACCTTGCAAATAACAACTGCTGATGGCCAGATGCAAGATACTTTAGGTTTTGTTTTGCTACCAGTAGGTTTTAATGGCAAAGTTCATGTCATTAAATTCATAATAGTTCCTTCCATTACACACACATTACTTTTAGGCATGGATTTCATCCTAAAATTCAATTTCAACCTTGATTTTCATACTTTTTCATATCAATCTTGTGCTGTAAATTGTATTCAAGGTATGGAGAAGCTATCTAATATGGAAAAGGAACAATTATTTGAAATTGTTGAACTTTTTAATAGCATTGCACCTACTGATAGTATTGGTTGTACACATTTATATACACATCACATTGACACAGGTGATGCAAAGCCCATCAGGCAAAGACAATATCCGCTTTCTCATGTAATGGAAAAAGCTCTTATTAAGCAAGTTGATGAAATGTTGGACATGGGTATTATAGAACCTTGCAGCAGTGCCTGGTGTTCAGCGCTCTGGCTGGTTTCCAAGAAAGACGGTTCATATAGAGTTTGTTTTGATGGTAGAAAACTAAATTCAGTAACAATTCCTGACGCGTATCCTCCTCCTTTAATAGACTCTGTAATT